CTCTACGGGACCTACGGGACTCTACGGGACTCTACGGGACTCTACGGGACCACTACGGGACTCTACGGGACTCTACGGGACTCTACAGGCACTCTATGGGACTCTACGGGCACTCTATGGGACTCTACGGGACTCTACTGCACTTAACAACACTCAACGGCACTGTACAACCTACGATAAGACTCGGAAACATTTGAAAAACGCGCGGAAACGCTCGACAAATGCTCGATAACGCTCGAAAACGCTCGAAAACACTCGAAAACGGTCAAAAAAACGTTCGAAAACTGTCGAAAACCGCTCGATAACGCTAGTAGGGAAATATAAAAATCATACGCGAAACGACTCGGCTTATATCCGCAGTTAGATAAGCCTCGGGAGGATTTTTCGCAGTATTCGACTCTCACGCATACTCGTCGAGTGTAGCGCGGAACGCACATATACTCAACATCTCGACCCGTAGCTTGGCGCTTGGCTGGTTGGGACGCGCGAAAACTACTAGGACCGATCGTACTCACGCAGATTCGCTGCATGGGAATTCCGTACGCGACACCGACGCGTGCCCCAAAGCTCCGCATCACGTCGACTTCGAGACAACAATGTACTTAATAGTAATAGATAAGTAGATAAAGTCAAATGGAGCGTTACGAATGTTCTTCCCTTACCCTCAAAAGCGAGCAGTGTCGGTAAGCGTAGGTAAGCCACCACCGTCAACTGCCGCATGGTATTACCATCACGAGTACGTGAGCCACCAATGGCGACTGGTAGATGATACCGCCACCGCGAGTGCGCGAGCTCCTTCCAGAAATTCGTTGCGCCGCCCTTGGGGGCAAAAAACGGTGAAAGCTAAAGTACGAAACCAGAGGGCAGCATAGGATGCGATCGCACGATCCTGCCCGTGAGCAATCTCCCAACTCATCTCTGATCTCTGTTTTCTGTTCCACCGTTACAATCGAAGTGATGGAAATTTTCCAACATTGATCAACATGGATTTTCATGTGGAAAAAAGTACATTCTTACAAACAATGCCAGACAGTGCTCCAGACCCATTATCAACAGAAAAATTACATTCCCAATCATTACCACCTAGTGTTCCATGCTATTTTTGTAACGATATTACAAAAGAAAAAGCATTGGCGTTGATTCTTAAATGTGCCGACTTTGCTGCTAAAAAACATAGCAAACAACGACGGAAAGATGTCGAGCAGACGCCATACATTAATCACCCCATAGGTTTGCATTGTCACAGAATTTAAATGAATGAAGCAGTTGATATCAATGCTTGCTTGCTCTTCATTCATTTATTGAGTATTGAGTATTATTTTCAGTATCCCTTTTTTTGTAAAACATAAATAAGAGAGTAAATAATTAGTCCAATGTATCTGAACATTTCAAATTATTTTATTAGCGTCATGGTTGTTTCATATTAATCACCATTAAAAAAAATTAATTAGATTATAATTTTAGGAGTTGCAAATATTTTAATTGAGGAAGGTGGCATAAACAATCCTATTGTCCTTGCCTCCGCTTTATTACATGATACGGTTGAAGATACAGAAACGACATTTGAAGAAATAGAGATCAATTTTGGCAGTGCTGTTGCTAAAATTGTTAAGGAAGTTACTGATGATAAAACTCTGGAAAAAGAGGAACGCAAACGTCTTCAAATTCAAAATTCCCCAAAAAAGAGTCATGAGGCAAAATTAGTTACCCTTGCTGATAAAGTTTACAATCTACGAGATTTGCAAAGGGCAACACCTGTTGGGTGGACATATACAAGAGTGAGAGAATATTTTAAGGTAGTTATTTTACTACTTACAAATATTACAGCTGTGACTATAAAGAAATAATTTATTATCAAGTTTGGTTATTAATGCCTATATGTGAATAATATAAATATATAATTGTACAATATAGGATTTAAATTTCTTTATTAATTGTAGTGGGCAGAGGCTGTAATAAATGGTTGCCGTGGTACCAATGCTAAATTAGAGACAGCGATAGATGTAATATTTGCTAATTACACAAAAAATGTCCAAGAAAAGTGCAATTGTAAAAAAACAGACTTATGATAATAATATATAAAAATTGCCTTTATGCTGTAAACCATGAAAAATATTTTGTATTTCAATATACATGTACCATGATTTTGTACAGGATAGAATGAGTGTTGAAAACATCATTACACTGCATCAATTTACCAACCCTATCGTACATAAACAGCAGTCACGATTCATGAATACAAGTTATAATGAATGGAATGTATATGATCATATTGGAGATCATCTTTGAAAATCCTTATATTTTTATTTCGAATTTTCTTGGAAGAACGATGTCATGTAGCTGGCCAGTTCCTCAGTCTCTTCTTCCGTAACGGCATTATACAAGGAGGCACGAATGCCACCAACAGACCTAATTCATTAATAAGAATAAAAGATTATTATACGAATAAAAATACGAATAATTAATTAATAATCTTTTATTCGTATTTTTATAAATGAAAGTATGTGTTTTAAATTATTCTGACACTTATGGTTTACGTACCTATGCCCTTTAAGTTGGAGCATTCCACGCTTAGCAGCACCTGCTAGAAATTTATTTTCAAGCTCTTCATCATCGCGTATTCTGAATGGTATATTCATTCTGCTTCTAACGTTTTTCTGAACAGGACATGTGTAGAAACCCTTTGATTCTTCAATCACACGATATATCTTTTCGCTTTTCTTAATTGCTAATTTTTCCATTCCCTCCACACCTCCATTTTTTTTAAGCCAGTGAAATATTTTTCCAATCACGTAAATCCTGAATAAAATGTAATGTATTAAATGAGGTAAGACATTTCTTACGTATTAATAAATCCTTCACATAAATTGCAACAGAATTATTTAAGACTGAAACGGGCTGCAGTTCAGAATATTTTTCAAATTAATTAATTTCTTTTCATATGCATTTTTAACTGTTGCAACTTGGAGCGGTAAATATTTTGTAAGTTGTTTGCCAGACAGTGTGTAAAAAATCATGAATAAAGTTGTACTTAAGACGTTGAAAATGTGAAATATTACTTACTGGAAAGTTGGAGGAGTATTGTGTATGGAATTATCTTTATCCATAACTGCAAAATCGAACATTGTCGGACATACTGGCATCGCATGTCCCAGCAAATCATCTCTTACTATCACCAGAGTGATACCAGATGGTCCAAAATTTTTTTGTGCTCCGGCAAAAATCACTCCAAACTAATGAGTAATTAATTTTTTGTCAGTATAACACACAAATTAAATTATATTCAAACAATGATTACCTTTGAGATGTCTAGAGGCTTTGTAAAAATATTAGAAGACATGTCTGCAACCAGTGGAATGCCGTTTGTCTCAGGAACATAATTAAATTCAATTCCTAAAAAGTTAAAAGCAATTCGGTGAAAATGAGATATTCTAATGCCTATTCAATCTACTTGAAATTTAATAATACGTTATTATAACTGTCACTTATAATCAATCACTTCAAGGTATTCCAGGATAATATCATTATGGAAAAAACTCATCATTGTTCTTATTTAACTTTTCAGCCGCTTGTTCATAAACGAATATTTTATTCGATTTTATTTATATCACAGTTCAGTAAAACTGATACTAATAAAATCTCAAAGTAGTAGTTATTTAATAAAAATTTTCTCATCTTGAAATCATCCACTTCGCGTTCTTGTTATTCGTCACCTCGTTATCAAGTATTTGTAAGGACTACCAATCTTGTTGACATCATCTCAGCCGTTAAGTGTCAGATCATACGTTCAACACTCTCCAATAAAACTGGATCGGATTCTCGACAACACCTTCTAGCGATATGATAGTATACAAAGTATCCATAAATTGAAATTTGATAATTTGATTACCGTGTACAGTCTCGTTAGAACAATAATAGACGTAAGAAGCGTTTTTATCCAGGTTCCACGTGGATGGATCAGGTATCTCGGTGTATTTGCTCTGCTTTGCCAGTACCATATTCACTTTTCCGTATTTTGCTGCTTCTTTAGCGGCCTTGGCCGACCAAGAACCTGAAAAACGGTCGCAACGTATTACTTTAGGGTGGTCCTTATTGACTCTTGACAAACATTTTTTCACGATGTTTTTTCGCACTGCCCCTAATTTGGATCCATTTTATGTAAAGAATAATTCGGGTAAAATTTGAACTTTATCGGACAAAAGGAAAGGGTGCCCCTGGGATCTTGAAAATGGAAGAGACCCTAAAATGAAAGAAAAACTCAATTTTGTTTGTTAACTTGCAAAATATTAATTATATGCAAAAAAGTTGTGTACAAAAATTGTAGATATATTAAAAATGCGTATATTACTACCTACGATTTTTTTTCGGAAACAGTCATACGAGAAAAAGTCCTAGGTAATAANTGGAACCAAATTGGGAGGTAGCGCGAAAAAAAAATCGCGAAACAATTTTTTCCAAGTGTAAAGAAGAACCACCCTAGTATTACTTCTTACTCTAACAAAAATGAAAGAAATATGTGCAACCAAATTGCAAACATTTTAAAAAGCAATTATAGGGTTCTTATAGAGGACAAGACTAATTTTTGTACTTAATGAATAGCGGCATTACTCTTGACTTAAAGAATAATTTTACCAGTCACGATATAATCCGCGGACCCGGTCTTGTACATCAGGTTGAGAGGCACTGCTGCAAATAGACCCGTGCCCCCTCCTTGCATAAACAAGATTTTATAATTATCTGGAACGTTTCTGTAAAGGAAAAGGTGAGAGTAGATATCGTTTGTTAGGATCTGTATTATTCATCAATTCAGTGCATTGGTCACGTATTATAAAATTTATGTAAATTCGACTTCGACATCAAGTACTGTTAACATCTGGACCCGTAATAAATCTTATGAAATTTAATACAATGCAGATTAATTTAAACATAATTACGAAAATCCTTGTTAATAAAAATATATTTGTTTTCATATTTTTGTACTCACAAAAGGCTGCGCACACTCGCTTGAGCATCTTCGATTATTTTCTTAAAGTCATTCGATCGATGACTGAGCTCAAGGATACTGACTTTAGCATTTTCTAAGGAAAGTAATTCCTTTTGCACATCCTTTAGGACCTGCGGATGATAAGCGGTAGATATCGATGAGTTCAATGAACTCGTTTGACCCGTTGTCATGTATCGTGCAACTATAGATCGCGTAACTGGTAGCGTGATCATTTTAATCGATTTCAGCTCTCGAATGAAAATATTTCTCCAATAGATTCTAATAATCAATAATGTTAGCAAAATATATCGATTGATTTAACGGAAAGTGGTTAAAAATAATTCGATCCAAAAATGAGCCAAGGGCGCCACCTTGCGCAGCTCTTATCAGTAGAAACAATGTTAAAAGAAAAAGATAACACTTAAACGACGTAACAGTTCTACGTATACTAAAACATAATACATAGATACTGCCAAAAGTATAAATTCACAACAGTCTAGTTAATTCATTCCACTACGTTTTAAACAAACGTGTCTACACCTCGTATTAGATGTTTCTATAGCCGACTAATTCGTAAAATTAAATTTGAAAAACCGACTGGCAATGTTAACAAACTTTTGTACGCTCAATCGTCTTATAACACGATTAATTCGTTCCATTTTGTACGGAGACCGTGTTGAGCAAAACTTAGAAATGACACAGATCAGTATAATGCGTTTCGTGGTACCGAAACCGCGTTGAGGAAACTTAGAAATATATATATATATATATATATATCAACCGAAACATGTAATGGAAAAAGGATGACAAGAGAATCTGAGCTACAAGAGGGTCATCCAAGTTTATTAAGTCGTGCTATACAGAAACCGTGTTATAGGAGAGCTATTGCAGATTTTGCACCGAGTCATATCGAAACCGGGTTTTCATAGTACCGTATTAGAGAATTAAAATTAACTTTACGCCGTTTCTATGGTGTACAATTTGAATACCACAGTCCACTTTGGCGAACCGGTTCTAGACGAGTCGCAGTCCAGATTTCAGAGCAAAGTGAATGGCACCGATTTCTAACGAATGATTCCACTCACCTCTTCTGGAAGTTTGGCAGGACCTGCCCCAAAGTTAATGACTTTCGGAGTGTTGTTAACTTTGCTCATTGTGGACGGAGCTTATTTTCTATATGGGGGATCTGTTGACCGAGTTGAAAGATCTTCCTCAACCGCAGCAATCTGCCGCGTCTGTACGGCAGTGAACGATTGCCAACCCGCGAAGCGCTCGTGCTCGCTTTATCGCTTTTGCTCGACCATAGTGGGGGTCGATGGATTGTGAAATTTTTCATTAAACTTCCGCGTTAAGGTGATTTTAGAAATTTTCACGCGGACACCTACGAGCAAAGGACACCGAACGATACGATTTATCAACAGCATAAGGTTCCACGGAGGCCGTGAAAAGCAGCCGTGGAGAGGAGGCCATTAAATGTGTTTACCGCGAAATATGAATGCAGGGAATTTGCTTAATATGAATTTACTAGCGATAATGCGGGGTTAAACCTTATGGAGACCCCTAGGCAGTGAAAATCTCGAGGCTCCTCTCAAATGATTTTTTTAATACCAACTAACAGTTTTAATACATCAATTTTATTACACGAAATAGTCACTAATAATTGTGTTCTGAAGGAAAATGTAGTAAATGGATCCTATTCACCTTCCGTACCTTCCTTCAACCCCTTTGGGTGTAATCTTCTTCCTTAACCTGTTAAGGTAATATCAATTTAAGATCAATTCACTTCTATATTTTCTTTATTTATTGTTACGGAGCGCATGACATTTCGGCGATGGTCAAACTGCCAAGGTTTGGAAGTGTAGATAAATATAATTATTAGTAAATAAAATTCTGATAATTAGTGCAGTATTTAAATGAACACTGATGCGTGTAAAAATTTGTTATAGTTTGACTAGCGGAATTGATAGCAGAACGTTCCTTTCCCTATTATGGGGCCCTAAAAAACACGTTACCCATAGACCAGCGCCGCTATTGCCTAGGACTTTGTAGAATTTACAATTCGAGAAAATCATATGTCCAAGTTTTTGGATAACATACGAAACTGGAATACTCAAATGTGTAGAAATGCAGATTAATTTGTTATCTAAAACATTAGTTTTAGTCGCAATATTGTAAGAATGATTTACATTTCACTGAGGAGAAATTATTAGAGGTCAGTGAAGAAACGGAGGCAAACTGATTTTTTTAGAAGAATATCGGACTCTTTAACTGTTCACGAAAAGAATTCTTATCGTTTAGTGTCGACATGTCCCCCGCGAGGTTTCATACATCGATTACATAAATTATGATTTCGACCTTTTTTAAGCGATAGCTTAAAACTCGATTAAACCGGATTCTTCTCTGATTCCGAATTCAGGATTAAACGCGCGCAACCGTTCAATTAATTATAATTTGATATTTTTCTTCTTTTAAATCACCTCTGAAACAGCATCTCTAAAATGTAAATGTAAATGCGAAGAACTACTGGAGTAACAAATATAAAATATTCATTTTGGCTCTATTGTTATAATATATATGTAAACTCTAATATGTGTATTCGTCGAAAACGTTAGGAGAAATTGTGTGGCACTCCAAATATTGCCGGTCTTAACCTTCCTTCTTATCGCTTGATAATAATTGACCGTTGAAAATGTATACAGTAGACCTAACTCAATATTATACCCTACACATTGAAATGTAATTAAAGTATTATTAATCATTTTCTCTTTCATCTTGTTTAAAGCGTTATATATTTCACAGGTGGAATTATTTATCGTATAATTTTTCATGCGAACGTTATTATTGAGTTAAATAGATTTCATGGTTATTTCTGAATAATCGTAAACAATGTTTGGGAAATCAGAAATTTAAATGTAGAATTGAAATGATTTCCTCGAGGTTTACTCGTGTCTAGTTAAATCATTTTTTTAAATAAATAATTCGCTACTTATTACAAGTTCTAATAATAGGTAAATACACGTCGGATATCGAGTGCTGATAGTATTACCATTCTTTGATATGAGTTATCGGCTACAACGTTCTCGTGTTATCGAGTGCTGTTGATTATGATGCCGGCACATAAGTATAGATGGCGCTACCAACTCAACTTGGATGATTATAAAGAGTCATGACCTTGAATTCACTACTTATTGAAATAAGGAAACTTATAATTTATTTAATTAAACGAAAAAATTATTACTATAAGACATCTGAAATTTCGGAAGTTCGCCTACGTACAAAGCGGTTGCAACCATGATTTTTTGTCATCGAGTTAATGGAAAGTACATCTTTCTTAAATTGCAAAAATAATTAAAACCGTTTTTTTTTTTTAATAACAAATAGAAATCAACTATTTTTGCCATACATGTTAGTACTTTCATTTTATTAAATACTCAAATCAGATATTATTGCCAAATTATTGAACATTTTGTTCCACATAATACAAGTACATCTATTCCAAAAACGATATTATCACTTAAAATCATATATCTATGAAAATCTACAGTTTTCTATTTTCATCTAATCAAATAAAATTTAAAATTAAATCTGATCAAATAAAAGAAATTAAAAACTCAATTTGAAAACATTTTATTTGGCGAGCACCCGAAGTGTACTCATCGGACTTCTCGTCGGTATTTCAGTGATAGCAGCAATCAGAGTCGGGTAAATTTAAAAAAATTCCTGATTTTTTGAGTTGATCGAAAGTTTATTTCTTTATCTGTAGCAATAAAGAAGTTATACTTCCCCCACTCCTGAAATCTCAATCTTTATAAAAATGTATTTGGCTCGAAACGCTACCGAGTTTCTTCATTTCATTCTGTCTTAAACTGAATTTATCCAATGATCAAATCATTCAAAATGTATGAATATCTACACGAAGACGTTGCGCTTATTGTGTAAGAAATACTCGTAGGTCATGGTCAGATAAGGAAGCTTTGAAGTTCACTGGGACAAATCACAATTAGTCCCAACATCCATCCATATATTAGAATCCCCGTATCAAAATGTATTTACCATTATAAAACCAAAGTAAATCAGTTTTTACAACACACACTAGCGGGCATATTTGTTACAAATGGAAAATACATTAAAAAAGTATTTTCGAGTATCTCGATTTCCCAAAATTATTCGCTGCGAGTAAATTAATCCAATTCACAAGATATCCATATATATATACTTTTCCTTGCATAATGGGATCTGCGTCAATTAGTAATCTAAGAGTTTACAGTTATTCTGAAAATGCGAATAATGACGTTCTCCATGTCCTTGACTTTCTGATGTAAAACTTGCTCGACCCTCAACATACTATCGTAAGAAAGAGCGATTGGAGAACATAGATACAATTCCTAATTTAGTTTTTAACGGAAATTTTCTTTTTAAATGAAAACGATTAATTAAGGTTAGAACGTAAGCATAAATCCGGCATTACTAGAAGTTCTATGGGCGCTGAGTTATACCGAGGTATTAAATATGAAGGAAAAAAAAATCGATTATTTTATCACCCTCAATTGACAATATGTCCATAAATTAAGCGGTTATTAACTCTAAAAGTTAAAGCATTTACTGTAGAAGTGCGTAGAGGGGAGGGGCGACTATCGATCGCGGGTGATTTCAGAACGTATAGAGGGCGCTCCTCGCAGCGAATTGCGCCGGCCAGCAGCTGAAAGTAACAGCGAATCTGCCTGAATCTGCCGGTGGGCACACAAAGGCACTCGACGCGCTCGACACGCTGACACGGAGCATCGCTGTCAGTGAGTGAAGCGTCGTACCGTCGTATATACATCGCTGATCTGCCGGGGAGTGGTGACCTTCCGCGTCCTTAAGCTCGACGTAGACGTCTATGTCGTCAGTTGGCCCGAAACCTTGTAGAAGGTGACACGCGGTGCTCTTCGACAGATCGCTTCAGGCCATTTGACGTTTCCTCAAAGTCGAGCGACAAACTCATAACATCAAGGTAACGACGCACCCGTGGCGAACCTCGAACTTGTCCAAACCTCGAACTTGACGATTACCTGCGCGCATCCCGTTGAGCTTGGATATTAAAATAATCGAAAAAGAAACTTGGCAGACTGTTGAGCCATACAGAAATTGAGTGAGAGACGTTTTAATAAGAGTATAGATTTCGAAATAGGATGATAGTCCAGGGTATTTTCTTTTTAACAATTTTACCAATTTTTCCTTCGTATCGAACTCAAGATTGTTCGAGCCAGCGTCTGCCTATGTTCCGGTGGGTGACTGGGAACGAATTGTCAGTTTCCGCGTTGGAGACGAGGTTATAAATACTTGGGTATAATTAACCCTTTTTCTTTCTTGCGGAGCTAAATCTCACGAGATCGGGAGAAAGAGGACCTACGGGTTCAAATGCGAATGTTAACATCCGAGGACAGTCAGACGCGGTATTGGACGCTAGAGTATTGTGTAATGGCGCTGGCATGACCTTGAATCGCTGTGCCGCTAACGGCTCCTTAAGGTTTGCTCACACGCGACGAATCTATACGAGCGTGCCGATGTCTGATTAATATGTTTCCTGGATTTTGTTTATAGTCGTATTAACACTTTATCGGCGATGATTCAATATCGCATATAATCTGTATATACACGTAATTAGGGTCATTTACATTAGATATCTTTATGCGGTTTACGCCCCGTCTTAAGTCTGTGTCCACGATTAAGGAACTTTGTCAAAGATTTTTCTCACAAATATTTTAATTCGTTTTGGACGCCTTCAAATGGTGTTCTAGTTGTGAAATCGTTTTACAACGCAACAAGTAATTTAATCGAGGTATATGCTTGTTAAATAATGTGTTCAATTACTACATACACATTATATCGTTCCAAGGATACATAACCTTATTTTATATATTATTTTAAGGTGATATGAAAAAAACATCTGAGGGGTCTCATTTATAAAACTTTTTTCTGAATGAGGAGTACCGAATGGTTTGAAATTTTACCACACCAATGTTGAGGCCCTAGGGAAAGTCCGGACACTCATGAAATTAATTTCTTTTCAATTTTCCGATGAACATTTCATTTTTTGTGAATAAAAATGAAATTTCATGGGTATCAATACTTTCTTTAGGTCCTCCATATGTACCTGGTACAATTTCAAACTACTTGGTATACTCAGTTTAGAGAACAGTTTCATAAACGATTAATCCCTCATATGCCCCTTTCATATCACTTTAATTATCCAATTCTCCCATTTTTTATTTTACTTTCTGTTTTATGTCCTATTCTCGACATTTGCCCTCTTGCACGAAAATGCTCTGAAATTTACAACTTTGACGGAAAAATATGACCGTTAGCAGTTTTCTATTAATTTTGTAAAGGGTGAATCTTGTTTTTCTACAAATGTATGTTTCGTTTTTTCCGAATCAAGGAAAGAATTACTTTTAAATGCAATTAATATTTTCTCGGAATTCGACGATGCCATTAACTGGCTATTTCTTAGAGATTCTCGTCCTCAATTTCGATGCGCTTATGAGTATTAATGATAACCTTAATTTCATGCCGAGAAATCTTATCTGGATGCACTCGATGGTGTCAAAAGTTACGAGTAATCTTTAATATTTAACGATGGTAACGCACATACGGTACCAACAATTAATCGTGATTATTTAATTGACTCATCCCTTATTGTTTTTAAGTCCGTCGAAAGGTCATCGACATTCGGGATGAAAGAATCAGTAGTATCCAATGTTATCGCCGTCTATTTTTTTTTGTCGCAATTTAACGATATTCACTCGATGAATCATCCCTTTAGCTCTTTCAGAGCGCGTTGGAAATATTCCTTTGGCTCTTCCAGAAAGTGAAAACGATCTCGCCACATCAGACACTGCACGCGTAATCTCAAATTATCACTTGCGGCGTGTAAACATTGGTGTGGCATTCATGTTGACTTGTCCACGTGTGCGTTTATATTCCGCTGAAAGTATAATGCGGCGGTTATAGTAACGATATCGCGTATCAAAAATGGATTTCTCCTTTCCTACAATATATCCTATGAAAATAGTACTGACCTACCGTGCACCATAATGTTTCGGATTCGAATAATAAATCCTCGGTACGAAGGGAGAACTTATTGAGATTTATTAAAACAAAAAAATTATTTGCACGGTATTAGCTAGATGTAAGATATAATCTTAAGTATATTGACCTCAATTGTTACAATAATTTCACGTAAGAATATTTGGGCGTTCTTTGTACAGCATCGTATGATGAAATGTAGCATTCCATTTCCCTTTCACGGCCGATGTGAACGACCCCTTAGCATCCTGCGCGAGCCGGTAAAAATGGCGGACCCCGGGTTAGGTTGAGCGGACCGAACAAACTGCAATTTAGTTGTACTTTCGCGGCATTTCTTGGAGGGGGGAGGGCGCTTTCGGAGAAACCGAGAAACAGGAGGTGCCGCAACGGCCGCGTTCTTTCTTGCATCTCAAGGTGCGTTTTTATTTCCAAGATGGAGCCGGTAACGATTTTTAGCCGGCACGGCCATGAAACACTTTCGTCACGTGGTTGCCACCTCGTTCGACTGCGCTCAATGGACGTTATGCACCGCGCATGCGCGGGATCTTACGATTCAATGTATTAGGTGTAAGGAAAAGTTTTGTCGGTTTTTGAACACGTACACTTCTTTAGAAGAAAGAACAAAATAAACGACAGAACTTCCCCTTACACCTAATACATACGCTTCATTACGTGGTAATAATTTAGAGCGACGTGTCGTAATAAGCGGTATGCAAATTTTTTTTTAGGTTGAAGACGAATCAAAAACTGATATTCATGAGAGCTTTTTCGTTGATACTCATTTATAGTTAATAGGGTGCAGTCAAGTATGTACATAAGTATCAAAGGATCAGTTTGCTTGACACAGAGAGCGTTAGAGTATTTCGTATCGCGGACCAAAAAATGTTAAAGAATTTGCGTTTAGAATGGCATTGTGACTTTAACGCTACAAACGACGTGTCTTATATATAGAAGAACGACAACCTCTACCATTTGAGAGAAATTTTGTATTATTAATGACAGCAGCCGATCATTTCTACCAAAAATGTAGGTGATCGAATTAACTTTTTCTTATTTGAGGCGATCGAACAATCGAATTGGTAGAACTGAACATTCAAAGCAAATCATTTCTTTAAATCAACTATATAAATTTTTCTTTTCGACTAAACAATTGTTTCTTGCAATCATATGATTCAGGCAACGTTATATGTCGAGAATATATATTTGTTTTAGTCAACTGAACTTTTTCCTCGGTGCAGGGCAATCTTTTATGATTCCTCTTCATCGAAATCGGTTAAAAAGATCTTAAGATTAACGCTAGGTTTACGGACATTTCTTGTATATCTATTTCAAATTGACGGGTAAACGGGAACCCGCATTTTCTTAAAAAAAAATCGATTTATTTAATTTAAAAACATCTTCATTATACCCTATTAAGTTACACGTTTAAATGTGATATTAGGAAATTATTTTTATAGAATAAAAATAGTAATCGTTTCTGTAATTTTGACCGTGAGTTCCGGAACTCGTCTAATTGACGAGTCTCGTAAATCTAGCGTTAAAATGGACACCCGGTATCTCTGGAAGGTGGAAGACTCGGTGGGATCCTTAACGACGGTTCATGCTCCGAACACGTGGCTACTGCAAACGTGCGGAACGCGTGGGATAGAATCGACTCGCCGATTAAAAGCCTGAGTCCCACTGAGCGCGGCGCGTCAACGTTCCGATAACAGAAAAAGGGCTTTAACCCGCGTTGGAAGTTAAACTTCCAAGTAAAAGAGAATTATTATCTGTTAGTAATTGTCCTTAATCATTCTTTCCCGAAATGTTCTTACTCGTTCGGTGAAGGTTAAAAAAATAAAATCAGCGACCCAAAGAAACCTTAAATTCGTCATAGTTTGACAAATTTTCTACCTTTCTTGATTTTTGGCCAAGATTTTCGGATTCTAGCCCACTGTGCGTCGCCACGTCGCTATGACGATGCACGCTGCCCGCCATATACTATATATACACACATACACACGTACGGGATGGATGACGTCACGGGCTTCATATGCGGGAAAGGAGAGGGGATACATTCCAATACGTAACGCTTTTTCATTACATCTCATCTTTTTCAGCATTTTACTCCTGGAATGGCCGAGACTCGGGCGCCGCATAAGAAGTTTTACTTATTAATACTTAAAAAACTTACTTACTAAACTTACTTAAAAAAAAAAAAAAAATTGAAATGAAATATCAATGTAAGGAGCTGCGATTTTAATCTTAACTTGGCCAAGGTAGAAGCGTCAAGTGCTGAATTTGAATAATGCTAACGGAAACGTTCGCGCAAATTGTGGTAATACTAAAACACTTTCGATGAAACAACGATAGATGAATATAGATGGTATTTAAGTTTAAAAAAAGTGTTCCGACACGAGTCCTTGTAACGCGTGACATACAACTACTGTAAGAAGTTTCACTTCAAAACCAATCAGAACTAGGGCAGAAATAACGCGCGAGGTTAAGCGCACTCGTTATTAGTTTTTTATCGTCGACGCGTTGACGCGCCGCGCTCAGTGAGACTCCGACCTTTCGGATCGCGTATGAAAGCCTCTCGGGTTCATTGCAAATGTCTCCTATCGTAAGCAAGTCCAAGCCCAAGATAGGAAGTTTAATGACCAGGTCGTTAACGGGCCACGTAAGGCGCGATAATAAACAATGTTTGTACATGAACTCTATGTAACTCATGTCGGAAAAATCGACTGACAGGACAAATCGGTGACAAGGGAAATTATACTTTTTTGCCGTTCGCAAACGCGAGGACGATAGTTATGGGGGGGTCTTTTCTTCCTTCGGTATTGTCACATGTAACTTATGCTTCGATCCAATATAAGTACATACATATATTGAAAGAAAAATCCTTTAAATCTATAATGTTTTATTGGGTTGAGTCCTGCGGATTTTCGTTCAATTCGTTACAAAAGGACACCGGACGAACTTATGTCTCAATCTGATATATTTATAATTTACTTATTTCATGACCCTTCGCCGATGAATTAGAGGATGACTGTAATTATTTGGCAAAGTTTTATCTTAAATGATTATTTTACGCAATTAATTATAATTAGCTGTTTTAACGTATCCTATATAAGATATTCTAGATGCTTGAACCCATTTTTTTTTTAATTAATAATATTACCAGAAATAATATTTCAAGGAGTTTGAACCTTCGAACAATGTTCGGCACCTAGTTCAATGGCCGCGTCAACAGTCGCGCCATCTTTGCGCGGGAATTTGAACTCCTTGTCGGTCTTATCAAGGAAATGTACATTTCGTAAAGAATTTTATTGGCGGCGTTCACAGTTACGGAACTGATTTTTCGTCTGCCGATTCGTGAGCTAAAGTCATCGACACAAGGAAGTCAACTTTGTGCGGTTGAATTTGAGCTGATTTACCGTTTAAGTGCTTCTTATTTCCGGTGTTGAGACGTGTCGACAAACTTGCATGCCAGTATACGCTCCGTCGCGACATTACTTCGGAAATGTGCACTTTGCGTCGAAGTGATTGTGCAAATATCGACGGGTGGACTTCGGAAGATTTCGCCGAGAGCGAATTGTACGCGGATATAGATTTATACAAAATTGAAGCTCACGGCTTCCAAAGCATGGAATCTTTCTCTGTGGATTTCAAGGCCAATCCTGCAGTGTTTTTATTTTTTTCGCGTAACGGCACGAAAATAGCGTTTCAGACATTTTTATCGAGGCACGTTCTTTTCGCTGAAACATACCTACTGTCGTCGGAAATAACATTACACTGGAGACTTTAATATTTGATATGTCTGGCGTTCGCTCTTCGTGCGACCTTTGTCTTCCTTCGCTCCTCTCATTTTTCAACGAAAATTCAGATATTTTGGGAAAGAAAGGTGAAATTATGGCATCGAAATTCATGGAGATTTATTGAAAGAAGAAAATAACCGTCACAAGGGTTCTGATGAGTTACTTCCTTTCTTTTATTTCTCGACCCCGGGAAATTTGAATTTTCGTACCGTGGAAGTTGTTACCTTCTGTAGCAGGCAGCACGTGGGGTTATTCATTGCCTTAAAAAGACCAAATCGCATCCTAATGTCAAAGTCGTGACCGTGAACATGATTAAAAGGGGACAAGGTGTGCTCCTGCGCGGGCCTTTTGACCAGCGAGTCACAATACAAAACCATAAACATCTTTGCTAACGAACTAATCAATGAAAATATAATTGGAAATGCAAAGGTAAATATAAGGGAGATCAAATAATAGAAATCTTTGACTAGAAGTATTTTTTGTCTTTCCATTCCTGTTTTTACGTGATTTTATCGAATGTTCAGACACTTCTTGATTTCTAGATCAATTAATTCGTAATGATACTTGTAAATAAACCTTAGGCATATTGCAGCATGGCGGCGTTTCGCAAAGGCGCAAAACGAGTCTGAAATGAAATCTCCATGGACCTACACCTTGTCCCATTTGCATCATGACCGTGAAAACGTCAATGATCAGATGACAATTTGATCGGTGAACACGGCAGTGGTTAAAATTGACATTGGCGATTCGAACAGTCAGCTTTTGTCATACTCTCTCCTGATTCTGTCAACTCTTGATATCGGACGACGACGAGAACCGGCTATAATTCCATTTCCGCTTTACCTAATTAAATACTCCCAGTTCAATAATTTCACAGACTCGGGTGAAAGTATTTTCTACTTTAGAAATATTTTATTATCCATCGAGGAACTAGCCTGTCATCTTGAAAATCAAAATTGAGGCTGAAGTAGGATGTGTCACTTCATAAACGAGGGCACTTTATTTTCAGTAAGCATTATTTTTATTATTAAAAATTAGAAATTACACGTACAGTATATTTTTTTCGTAATTAACTTGTGTAAGTGATATTGTGGGCTGATAATAAGGATGAATACCGTCGTTTGGGGCGAACGCACGAAGTAGTATAAGGAGATAAAACGCCATGCATTGAAATCGACCCCACTATAGGGATCCAAGATTTTCAGTTTTTTTTTTCCCGATCAAGACATCACATTCTGTGTATCATTCGCGAATTATCTTTTCGTTTTGCGTACCTTAATTGCAAAATTAGAAGCATTTTAGGTGAACTACGTCAGTAGGAAATATTTTGGTCACCTAGGATTGGAGTTCCCTTAGTTTCCGCGAGTAGCGCTCGTGTCGTTAGATCAGCGAAAATATGAGATCCTGGGTCCGATCCTGGGATCACTTTCTGTGGTACCGACCATTGTCGTTTGTTTCCTTTTACTATTTCATGGGCGCACGCTGAACTTCGGCCATGTTGAATCGATATATATGACAGTTCCTCGCCCGGTTCTGATAGATCGCGGGAAACTCGGGAAAAACCTTCGAGGTAGGTCGAAATACGCTGGAAATTTTCGGCAAACTGTGGCGAGGGCTCTCTTCGACATGTTGGGACTATTTTCGGCGCGTTTGCGACGCAAAGAGCGAAGGGTCTTTCGGTGGTTCCGTCGTCGTCCGATGCGTCGATTTACCCCGCTGGTTCACCCACGTCGCGATTTCGGGTTCTGGTCCCACTTCCGGTCCCGGTTCGCCGTGCCGGAAGCGCAGTCGATCGCGAGACGGCTGCCCTTCCCTTTAGCGTCTCTGCCAAGAGACAGCTTCCACTGCCTGACACTAATTCGCATTTCCACTTTATTTACGCAGCCTGCCAAAATGGGCTGGATTACCGTCAACGACCAGGTACCATTTTGATTTTCAGTGTTCTCAGCACTTCCTTGCCTTCGTTTGCGAGTTTTTCAGTCGTTCTTTAGCCTCGATTTTGTTTGGATGTGTTTCACTTTGTATAACCACCTGTTTCTTCCTCTTCTCCTTTTTTTTTGTTTTCCCTAGAGTTGAAAGTATTAGCGGAAGTAATCCATGGTGTGGAATGTTTAGATACGTTTATTACCCCCAGAGTATGTAAAGATTAAATTAATCGAATGCGGTTTTGGAATGAAACTGATGTTTGCAAATTACCGCCCGCTGATGATGCACTCGATGACCGGTGCTTACAAAATGGAGGATATTCAGCATGCGAATTTACTATTCGGGAGGGTTAAGAAATGGAAATTAATGAAGATTAACATACATCGTTTCTTGAATATTTTTTTCAACCTGATATCCTTTCGCGGGAGTTTGAATTTTTTAATCGTGGACCGTCGCCTAAATATTACATGAGAAATGTGCCTTTTGATATCATTTTGATTTTGGTTTAGAAGAAGGCTTATCGTATTGGGTTAACCTGAAACTTTGACCAGTGGTTGTATCAACATGTAAACAAAGTGGAAATAATATGGAAATAGCATGTATCGGTTACTCTTTGAATGAGAAATCACTGTAGATAAACAATGAAATCGATATAGAATTAAAAATCTGTCGACTTTTTCTTTTTTACATACTCTGGTTCTTCTGTAATTTAGACTTGTACGCAAAAATGGGCCAAACTCTTGTGCGATCGCGACAATTACCTGAAACGACTGCTAAAGGATATCCTGTCCTAAAGAGCCACCTTGTATTCATATTTTCTATAATCATATATTTTCCTAAGTTGAGTACACAAATATTTTTTTATAACTCCCAGATGATTAAACTGCGTATTGGGTAATTGTTAACAGAAAGTGGTGCACCATTTATGAGATTTGTTTAATTTCTTCGCGCCACCGTAAGGTTAGAGAAAAATATATATATACACAGCGAATATAATCGCGACTGAGGGAGAGTTTTGCCCTTTGCTTCTTTAGTGTTGCTCGTGGCTGCGGTTATTTTTATTCACCAATGGCGAATCGTCCAAGACTTTTGCCACGAACATAGCGCAACCTATTTCTGCCGAGGCCGAGCTTGCTCTGTCTTTCTTCCTCCTAGCAAGCACGCATTTTGCCATTTTCTTTCTCCCTTATTTGTGGCCGGATTTCTGCCATTCTTATTTTGCCTGACGAATTTACATGTTTATTCCAGCGATTACGTTTTATAAACTGCATGTATTCCTGCGCTGACTTCGAACGCAAGGGTAACGCTGCTGATGAGAGGCGTTGAAGAAAATTGCGAAAGACATTGTAGGATACGAAAAAAGTTGCATTTTAAGGGGGTGTGAAAGTAGCACCTCAGGGGCCAATCGTGCGTGAAATTTTTCTCTGAACTGGGTGTACCGAATCGTTTTAGACTACCCAACGTGAATATGGAGAATATAAGGAAGGTTCTGACACTCATGAAATTTCATTTTTTGTAACAAATTTTAAAAATATCTATGAACAGATTGGAAAAAAAATTGAAATTCCGTAAGTTTCAGGGCCTTCTCTGTACCATCCACATTTATTTTGTAAAGTTTGAGTCGATTCAGGACACCCAGTCGGAGAAAAGATTCATAAACGAGACCCCTCCTTGACGCCACTTTCACATCCCCTTAACGATAAATCATATGTTTCAGTACTCAAAAATTAGTTTTCGACACTTTTTACCTATCTGATTTAAAGACCATGCATAAGGATTTATTCAAACATTCAAGCTTTGTTGAGAAAAAAAAACTCGAAGTCAATCGTCGCCATTTTGCCAATGCCTTTTCTTACCGAAAATCTGTATTGTCGTTAAAAATTAATATCTCTTAATATTGTCTTTAATGCACGTCTGCACGCACTAATTTCACTACTCATAGCAATGCATGTCATTACGTATCGGCATGATAGTTACTAATAGCATTACCAATTACCATGTCAGGTAATAAAAACGGTTGTCTATATAAAATTAGTATATACCATTATGAGGAAAGAAGAAAAAAAAATCTTGTCGAAATATTTCCATCAATTCCCCGAAGTACATGCGGCCCGAAACGTTAATTACTACCAAGATATATTTCATTATTTACCCGCCTCTCTTAATAGTTTCTTTTTTCTTTACATTCAATAGCTACTTTCAGTGGCTAATTATAATTATAAGACCGTAGGTAAAGATACGAGACACGGTAGGTATCTTGAATGACACATAAGCAATTACGGTCGTCAGTAAAAGAAATCGACGTTACTTTCATTAGATACATATTACTTTTCTTTGTTTGTAATTGTATGTACTCTTTGTGCGTGCAATATCTTAATTGTACCCAGATAACGCACTAGTAGGAAATTATTGCAATATTTTCCTCGGAGTTGGGTAAAAACTACGTATTGCAAAAAAAAAATCGGCAAGCTCCGTACACTGTCTAATATCATTTTAATCATCCTTATTTTCTTCAGACTCGGTCTCATTGATGATTCGCGCATTTTGGTTCAACCTTCATTACACGTTATTAATATTTCGAGGCAGATTCACACGCTGACCCGCCAGTGCCGTATCCCTCGCTTGCGTTAGATGTTAATTGTTAAAGGAATTGCCTAATCGATTTATCGTCGTTTTGCTCAGATGGCTGGTACACCAAACACCGTTGCCCTGAACGCGCAGTATCAGCTGGACCACATGTGTGCCCTCGACATCAATTCTCATGTCTCCTTCGTCCGACTTTCGGGCATCATTTGCACCATCGGGCCTGCCTCTCGCAGTGTCGAAGTACTCGAGAAGATGATCGAAACTGGCATGAACATTGCCAGGTTGAACTTTTCTCACGGTTCCCACGAGTACCACGCGGAAACCATCGCCAACGTCAGACAGGCGCAGAAAAACCTCTCCGCCAAAAATGCCATCACTGTCCCCGTGGCCATCGCTCTGGACACTAAGGGACCAGAAATTCGTACCGGTCTTTTGGAAGGCGTAAGTGGATACTTGGTCTCTCCAATTTCTTCAGATTACGAGTTAAGGGGATCTGAAAGTGGCATCCAAAAGCTCAATCGTTCATAAAGCATTTCTACGAACTGGGTGTCTCAAATCGGTTCATACTTTAAAACGTGAATATGGAGACCCTAAGGTAGGTCCTGAAACTCGCGAAATTAAATTTTTTATAAACTATTTTTAAAATACCTATAAACAAATTTAAAAAGAATTTAAATTTCATGAGTTTCAAAACCTTCCTTATAGTTTCCCTATCCACGTTGTATCGTTTCAAACTGTTCGGTAAACCGAGTTGGGAGAAAAGTTTTATAAACAATACCTCTTCGACACCACTTCCACATAACCTTAAAAGGCGATGTAAAAAGTGGCGTCAAAGAGCTCTCGTTCACGAAACTTGTCACTGCCGATGAACCGAATCTATTCAAACTTTACCATATAAATATGGAGGGTGTAGGGAAGGTCCCTAAACTCGTGAATTTACAATTTTTTTTTTATTTATTCATAGATGTTTTTAAAATTTGTTATAAAAAATGAAACTTCGTGAGTGTCAGGACCTTCCTTATAACTTCCACATTCATGTAGTAAAGTTTGAAGGATTCAGCGCACCCAGTTCAGAGAAAAATTTCATGAAAGACTGACTCTTCGGATGTCACTTTCACATCCCCTTAAAGCAATATTTCTTTACAAACAGGAAAAAGTTATCCTGTATAAATCGCCTTGATATTTTGAACACTGGAGTGAAATATATATACTACAACTAGAAAGAAGCGATTGGTCTTTCACGTATTTTGTCACGGGAAGAGTTTCATTACTCGTATTTTCAGAGTTTTCTTTTCGATGCAATCTTTTTTCTCAATATACCCAACAGGGTATAAATGGAAGTCATAAATCGTGGATTAAATTGCTTGTTCTCAGGGAGGTGCTGCCGAGGTGGAACTAGTAAAGGGCGAAACCTTCAAGCTGTCTACAGACAAAGCATATGCCGAAAAGGGCAATGCTTCAATCGTTTACGTCGATTACGACAATATCAGCAAGGTGTTGAGTGTCGGGAATCGCGTTTACGTTGACGACGGGTTGATCTCGCTAGTCGTTACAGCTGTCGGTTAGTATATCCTGTTGACTTGTAATTCTTCACCAGAAAGATGAATTTTCTTAAATCTGTCATCTGATGATACACAGGAAACTTCTCAAATGCAATAATGAAAGTTTTCTTTTCTTCGCAGCTCCAACTCAAATTACAACGACAATTGAAAATGGAGGATTGCTGGGCTCCCGGAAGGGAGTCAATTTGCCGGGTGTTCCTGTAGACTTGCCGGCAGTATCCGAGAAGGACAAGTCTGACTTGCAGTTCGGCGTCGATCAAGAGGTCGACATGATATTCGCTTCCTTTATCCGCAATGCCTCTGCCCTTTCCGAAATTCGCGCGATCCTTGGCGAGAAGGGCAAAAACATCAAGATCATATCCAAGATCGAGAACCAACAGGGCATAAACAACCTCGACGAGATCATCAACGTGTCCGATGGCATCATGGTGGCTCGAGGTGATCTGGGTATCGAGATACCCGCCGAGAAGGTCTTCCTTGCCCAAAAGACCATGATCTCCAGATGCAACAAGGTCGGAAAACCTGTGATCTGCGCTACCCAGATGTTGGAGTCCATGGTCAAGAAACCACGTCCGACCAGAGCCGAAACATCCGATGTGGCTAATGCCATTTTAGATGGAGCTGACTGTGTCATGCTCTCAGGTACTGACTCCTTTCTTTATGTTTTAATTTACAAGCGACATTTTGCACGCAGTAACAACCTTAATGCAAGATTCGATTCTCTGGCAAAATTCTGTAAATTGAAAATAGATACTCATACGATGATTTGTCTTTAGGTGAGACGGCGAAAGGTGACTATCCTCTGGAGTGCGTCCGCATGATGGCGGACATCTGCAAAGAAGCAGAAGCTGCTCTTTGGCAGAAACAAATCTTTTTGGATCTCACCAGCAAGGCGATTCCACCGATCGATGCTACCCACGCGGTTGCGATCGCTGCGGTAGAAGTTTCTGCCAAATGTCTTGCCTCCGCCATAATCGTTATCACAACTTCCGGACGTTCGTCTCATCTCATTTCGAAGTACAGACCTCGTTGTCCGATTATCTCCGTCACCAGGTTCCATCAAGTTGCTCGTCAGTCGCATCTCTACCGTGGAATTCTACCTCTGCATTATACAGGTGAATGTCACTTGTGTGGTGAGAACCAATGTTGACTATTTGCAGTTTCGTGTAGTGATGAGAAAGAGAGAAAATAGAAAAAAAAAATAATACAATTTACTACATATCGAATGTACAGGACACTCAGGCGCATGCTGTGTTATTATTTAATAATTACAAATGTATTGAACTCTTTCATGTACTATTTGCAGAAGCACCACTGAGTGACTGGCTTCAGGATGTGGATGTTCGCGTACAATTTGGATTGAACTTTGGCAAGAGTCGCGGTTTTATAAAGACTGGAGACACCGTTGTGGTGGTTACCGGATGGAAACAAGGCTCCGGCTTTACGAATACTCTGCGCATTGTGTACGTAGCACCAGAGTTTGGTCAAGAAGACGTCATTTGCACGTTTTTCAGTGACACCGATTCCGATGAAGAAGCATAGCAAAGACCCCCTTTGCCGAATGTTCCTTGAACCAGCACGCTTCTCAGACCCCGCATTTCCAACGCCCTACTTCTTGGAATCCAGCATCCTTACGCAATTCCGAATTAACGCACTCATGTTGAACGAAACAACGCAACTATATTAATTTAGGATAGTAATTTATCGTTAACAGTAATTTCTGTAATCTTGTAAGAATTGTCCAGTAGTTCTAAATAAGTTTACACACTGTTTTGATTTATTATTGCTGCTTAATATTGCTTGAAAGTGTATTCTGTCACACACATTAATTTCATTTGATTCGTTTAATATCACGTTAAAATATGACCACCGTGGGAAATTTAAACTTTTCAACTGCTTCAGACATGTGATTGGTGTGTTCAGTTTTGTCATACTTTTAACTACAGTAATGTATTTGTAGCTTTTTCAAACATACTTATTGTTAGACATTTTTAACACTGCAGGCCATCCGTTTATTTCAGCACATTGCCCGGTCCATCAATGCATTGTTAGCTAAGCTTAGTAATATTCCGAGCAAATTTAAATATCTTTTATCTTTTTCTTACAGGACGGTCACTGAACGCCCACCAGCTGGCCTGGTTTAGGATATGAAGATACCATGGATAGTCATCATAAAGAGAAAATACATAGTGTATCATCAAGATACGCGTTTTCGTTGAGATTTGGTTGTCGTCGGCGTCCTTTCCTAGGTTAGAGTCAGTATCATTATACTGTCGAAGAATATACAGAGGCGCACTGTAAGAAGTTAAAGTCCGTTGAATATCGAGGTATAATCTAAATAAATTATCAACAAGGAACCGCGTCGAACATTTTGTACTTGGCAGAAGTCCTTCCTATGCGACATTTGCTCCTAAATATATTCTCTGCAAGGTCGTGCTTTATTAATTATGTTCGATTTCCCATGTCTCTTCCGAACATTCCTTTACCACCTAATGATCATTTGTTGTATCACGCATTGATTGTCCAATTTTTTAAAGAGGACTTCGTGTCGATATGATCTACAAATTCAGAGTCGGGTAAATATTGAAGTAGTACTGCGAGGTAAATACTTGATCATCGAGCGCGTAATGGGCTTCAATGACATTATTTATTCAGATTTTTCTATCAATAATCCATCTCTTCACACGTTTCATTTACACCACTGACATATCGCAAGAATTTTCAGAATATGAGACCTAAATTAATGTAAACTATCGTGATCAGGTTCGGCGATATATAGTTGGTTTCATTAATATTCTTACAGAAGGTTTACTTTATTTAGAATATGTGCTCGAGTGACGACAATTTGTCTTCGAAGTCGATTGGCCCATGTCATCGAATGCCATGGGTAAGCAATCTTAACTATTCCTGTGGCAATCTCAAAATATAGGAAGTGGTTTTTATGGATTATGGTGCCCCAACAATTTTACGGAACACGGTCCAACCATTTCTTCACGGGACATTAATTTCGCGCCTTATAACCTCATAAATCTTAACGTAGCGCAGACCTTTGCGTAAACTTTCAATTTTAATCGTTGTCAAGTAAAAATCGATGAAAAGGCGCACGAGGCGTCGCGCGTTATTTACCTCGGAGGTGTATTAACAGCGTTAAGAGGTTTTTTTTACAGATTTTCATAAGACCTTTTCGGTCCATTGATATGATAGGTATACGTTCTAAATATCCGTGACATCGCTAATAGCAAACTGAAAGACTAAAATAGACGGTAAATTGAAATTTGAAAACCGTTAATTGCAACTAGGTGGTAGGTGGAGATATTAATTGGAGTGAATTTAATCTCCAGATGATGCGATCGAAGGATCAGTCAGTTCCAGAAAATCAGTTAGGTGCTGCGTATCAAAGCACCCGGATTGATTATCAAATGCGTCTCGATGTGAATAGTCATCCCAAACAGGCCAGACTTACGGGGATTATGGTAACTCTAGGTATCCGTAATTATACCGTATTCGCAATTCATTCGACAATTCGTAGAACGATGCCACGGCGAACGGAGTCGATTAACTCCACGAAAGAGAACGCCTAGAAAAATTGATAAATATAAAAAGTTAAGTATCTCATCGAGGATAAGCATTAAGCTGAAGCAAAGAATAAAATTTAAAAAATTCTAAACGTTGAGTTAATCACTTTGGCCTGAGAACGATTCAATGATACAACAATGATAATTTTAACCAGACACCGTTTCGCAGGCGAAAATAATTCCCATCCCGAAGCTATTTCGGATATCGTGTCCGCCGGCGCTGACATGTTTCGACTCAATATGTCTCATAAGGATTGTAAATGGCATGAATTGACTCTTCAGTCAGCCAGACGAACCGAAAATAAACTCCACGAAAGATGTCCCCTGTATTTCCCGCTTGCGATCGCGGTGGACCTTCGTGGTCCCGAAATTCGAACCGGCATATTTCGCGGGGACTCGAAGAATATGGTACGGCCCTTAAATTGAAAATAAAGATATTTCATTCAATTGAATAAATAGGAAATAATCCCACTTGATTTTGACACCTTTTAAGGGGTTTGCTGAATTAAAAGAGGGAAATACCTTGAGACTACTTACGAATAAAAAGGTGAAACTAGCTGGGACCGCCACTTGCTTTTGGGTGTCTTATCCAGATTTGCCGAAAAAATGCCAAATCGGAGACCAGATATTATTAGACCGGGGGGCCATGACTCTGCAGGTGACCGCAATAGGTTCGCCATAAATTGATTTGTTCTGAAAAAAGAATTGGAATTTAATGATTTTCGTATAAACCCATAATATCATATTATGACGTCAAATATTCAGGTCGAGTTTGCTGCGTATAACTGTCGCGACGTTTTTTTTCTGTTTCTTTTTTTTAAATGACATTTTGTGAAATTGCAGGCGAAGATTTCGTGACATGCAAGATATCGAAAGGTGGAATCATCAGGGATGAAAAAATAGTTCATTTGATTGACTCTGTGGTAGAGCTGCCCCAAGTCTCCGAACAAGACGACTTTGACATTGCATTCGCCTTGAACCATAAATCTGACTTTTTGATAGTGTCTCATGTACGTAGTAGTAAAATGATATGTGCGGTCAGGAATAGAGTCGAACAAATAGGTAAATATAGATAAGTTGACAAGTGATATTAATATACTAAGTATACGAACTGGTATAAAATTAGTTATGGGTGTCTTCTTACGTAATTTATTTATGTAATACGTTTATAAATGTTTTTTCAATGGCTGTTATGCAACAAACAGGGTCATTCTGTGCACATTTTGGGAGTAGCCTTTTCAGTACTTTTCAGTAGACGTCACCGTTCTTTAATAATTGTTTAAGGCTCCCGTCCAATATGCATCCTATCGAAGATTTCCTCTCTACAAGGAGTGAATTGTTTCGACGAGGTATTGAAAGTGTCCGATGGCATTGTCATCGATGGATCTGGAATTGAAGTTGACACCGGACCGGAGAAAGTCTTTCTGGCTCAAAAGTCCATTATTGCAAAGTGTAACCAGGTAAGATGGTTTAAGGTCAACCTAAGGCCATTTTCATTTGCCTCTGCCCCTCATTGAAAAATCTCAAAATACGTAAAAAACATTTACCTTTAACTCTCTGCAAGTCAATGTTTCTTTAAAGCCATGAGGAAACACCGATGTACCGTGAAACTTGCAAATCTTAACGGTCTGATATTAAATGGTTGTTTGTAAATTACATTTTATATAAATTCTGAGAAATAGAAGGGTTTATAAATTTACAATGTACAAACAAATCTCTTAGTTAGAAAGGAGGAATACAACGATAAGGTGCTACATTTAGCTTCGCCGGAAAAGTCAAGTAATACTTGACAAAAATCGACGCACGGATATGTGACTTCAAAGTCACGTGGCTTTGTAGAGGGTTAAAAGTGATGTACTTCAACAGACACCTTCCTCAGGCTTCGGTTCATTCCCAAGAATGCCCAACACTGCGTCTAATAATGTTTGTAACGTAATGTATTAATAATATTGCAATTATACGAACTCTCAAGGACCGTGCAAAAAATTTGGAGGGTCGAAGAAGTTATGTAGCTAGAGACATCACAGAGGCTTCGCTACTACATTTTCAGAAAATGCCTAATACCTTTCAAATCATATTAATGAATGGCCCGTTTCGGCATAACATTCTATTTTATATGTAAATGGTAATGAGAATCCCGAAATAGTATTCATTGAGAGATGCCTAGAAGTCGAGGTGGGGTATAACTGTCTTGTTTTGATGTTCGTTACTCGGCAACATGGAGCTCATGATTAGGGAGGTAGTCTTTTATATTTATGAGACCACTTACATATGACAGCACGAAACGCACGTATTTTAATGAAAATTATGTAGGAACTTTCCCCGTTTTTTTGCCTTTTGATCCGTGAAAACGAATTTCCCGGACTTCGAGATCCTAAAAGTTAACGTTGACACGTACGTTCGCTCGCAATGTATAATACATGCTTAGACCGAAGCATAGCTTCGATGATGACACTTATCGGTAACTTGTCAGTAGGCATGCCTCTATTTGATATAAAACTAGAAGAATTGCAGGCATTATATATTCTCTCGAATCGAAGTACATGGATTTCCTGAAAAATAAGAAATTTCTTCGCGCAGCCTCGCCCTCAATAAATTAAAAAGGAAATAAAATGCTCAATGATTAATAAATGGTCGCGTGTCCACAAGTGTTCCTCATTGTCAATTGTCGGCAACGTCAACCGGTCTCGTAAACTGTCATTTGTAAAAGCTCTCGTCAGAATTAATGGGAACGAATGAAATGCAATGGCACCGATTCGTTCGTTCATTGAGCGGAAAAGCATAACGTAATTCTGCCATTTAGCGGAGTGCGTTTAAGTTCTCGCTCGAATGCCAGGGAAGGTCGCATTGTAAAAGGCCTTTCTGGCATAAACAATCGCAGGACTTTAATGGTTTGCGGTAGGTTGGGAAGCCCGTGGTGGTGGTGCTCCACGTGGAAACCGAGTGCAGCCTGCAGGTGAGCACCGCTCACGTGGTTAACGCCGTTCTCGAAGGGGCCGACAGCATCTTGCTAGCGACCGGGGCTTCGAGCGCGGAAAACACCATTGATCTCGTCAAGAAGGTCGACAAAGCTTGCAGAGAAGCCGAATGTGCCAGGTGGCAAAGACAGCTCTTCCAGGAACTCAGTTACAAGGTACAAGGTTGCTCGGCCGTCCTCAAACGGCAAAAGTTACGCCGGTTCTCTCGATGGGTGAAAAGAACTTCGAGAAACACCCCGGGACGATGTATACCGTCCAATTTTATCCAAGGATTCGCCAAACAACTCGTTAACCATCACTCTTGGCCTGCTGTCACCTCGGGAGCGTCAAATGGTTGCGCCCTTCACCTTTAGGGACGTAGGAAGTTGCTTTAATAATTTAGGGGTGGAACATTTAAAGCCCCTCGTAATTACGGCACCTTTGGGAGATCGTGGGAGGTGGCTCGGATTTCTTTCAAGAATTGCTCCGGCAGGCGTTTCGTGACGATGCTGACTTTACGTCAGGATTCCGGATGCGGTGGGCAACTATGTAGACATAGGTCACCGCATGCCATAACTTGTGTAGGAGGCATCGGGATGTGTTTGTACATCTGGAATGTGTACGAAGGGGAGCCGAGGTGCACTGATCCGTATATGCGTACATGTAGAATGCGCGGATCGTAGATCGAAGCACTATTCATTAGGTTGAGAGATCGTTAAGTTACAATACACATTTTTGTGTATTTTGTCCCACCAAGACAGAAGCGACGATACTCATTTATTCCATTTGATTTAAAGTTGGGTTTCTAAAGTCCCTTGAGATAACGCCTTTGCTGGATTTCTAATTCAAGAGTACTCGAATTTGTATGCGCGCATCTGCCAAAATTTGAAACATTTATCCGGAAAAATTGGCGTCGGGTATCGCTCATTCGATATCGAATCATTGAACGTCCATTTATTTTCAAGGCCTCGATACCTCTCGACCTGACGCACTCGATCGCAATCGCGGCCGTAGAAACATCCATGAAGTGCAACGCAGCCGCCATTTTGGTGACCACGACTACAGGTCGTTCCGCCATGATGGTCTCCATATACAGGCCCCGTTGTCCAATAGTGGCAATTACTCGTTACAGTGCTGTTTCTCGATTACTACAAATTTCTTTTGGCATCCACCCAATTCATTTCAGCCGTAAGTATTACCTCCTATAGTCGTTTCTTCAATCCCCATTTATAAAAATGTTCGTTTCTTTAAGCATAGGCCGAAGGGACTAATAGTCATTACTTCAAAACGCCATAAAATAAACGAAATTACCTTTTAGGGCTGTGAATGCAGAAATGCAGAAATGCAGAAATGCAGACGAAGGTTTATCGACGTTGACCGTATATATGTGTGCAGAAAATGTCAGCAGCATGGACAATGGCCGCACGCATTTGTTCAATACTTTTCTTGTAGTATCTTGCCGTTGATAACAAATAACATTTGTTTTGCTTTTTTTATCGAATATTTGAGATAATATGTATTCCAAAAAAGATGGACGCTTATTCCTAGCTCTTTGTCGACGCAGGTTACGTGTCGTCCGTGCTGATTGTTTATCAATGAAACTCCGCATTTAAACAGTCACGAGTTGCTTAGATGACTCTTCGTAATAATTTTTTTTTAAGTTATACTGCGATGTTACATCGATAATGCAGTTCTTCGGGTATACGTGTCAAATTCATATTTAGGACAACTATACAGGACGGGGTTCCCGTAGAAAATTAAACATGGATATTATATTTTTCTCCAAACAATTATCTGCATAATCCACCGTAATGTAGTTATTAAAATTCTGTACGGCTTTATTTCAACAAATGCTCGCCTTCTGACCGTATACAGGGATCAATCGTACGTAAATCTTTGTACGGGATCTTTTTTTTCTCGCTCTGTAATAGAAATACAGATTATGTTGAAAAATATCAGAAAAATGATACACGGAATATTTTAATACACGGAGGATTTCACAGATGCACCGCTGTCAGACTGGAATAAGGATATGGACACTCGGATTCAGTGGGGCATGAATTATTTGCGGAATGAAAAATTCATCGACACAGGTGATGTCGTCGTCATAGTGAGTGGATGGTGCCAAGGCAGTGGATTTACAAATTCCATTCGAGTAGTATACGCTTCGCCCGGTGCAATTCCTAATCGAATAGAAGACCTTGAAGTATGTTGGTGAACTTTGCAGACCTTCTCGAAACCTGAGAATCCAATTACGAAGAGTATTAATCAAATCAACTATACCTGTGTCGTTACCAAAGTTGATGCTGTTCGTAAACAATGCACATAAGACGTAATCACAAAGTGAAGCAAAAATATCGATAAACGTGAAATAGATGATGGAAATGAATCGTCCAAGTCGTTTAGAGAAATTCTTGTACGGAACAATTAAACATTATGATAATTACGTTAATCAAATTATCACTTCCCTTTTTAGGTATCCCCGGAAACTGTTAGAATATGCCGAAAAAAAAATTGCTTCATTGAAGAAAATTGTTCGATTGAATGCATTTGATCCATTTCAGAAAACCTTTTGGTTGAATCAATCGAATTTCGATTCACCTGACCAGATTTGTTTGCTTCAGTTAACTAAGGGGTTTAGTCAAATCGTTTCGTAGATTTTAGAAAATATTTCATTCCATTTAGTTTGGTACAATCAAAGGGTTTAGTCACACCAACCAAAGATTTAACTCTCTGTGCATTAATAATATTCTACGCTGGGAATGAAAATTCATTGAATCTAAGAAGTATTTCGTCGAATAGTACCGAAGAAATATTTTATTAATACAAAGAACAATTATTTGACTCTAATAAACTCGAATAAATTATCATAATTCCGAAGCAAAGATTGCATCCAATTTATTCAAATTTATTTGACTCGAATTATTCTTTGAATTAACAAAATATTTCTTGGGGACCATTCAAAGATATATTTCTCTGGTTTAATATAACTTCTTTTCTCAGTGCATGATTGAACCAATAAACATTTTGATTAAAAAAAATATTTTTCTGCGCCAAGGAAGACTAGGGATGAGAGGTCCTCTCGAACGTCACACGTGACAATAACTTTTGCCATAGTGAATGGATTCACCTCGTATCTGTTTCCGGATGCGTATCGCATATTGCTTCGCTCTCCGTTATCGGTCACAATTACGTCCATACATTTTCGCGAACTTTCCGAGTCGATAAACCGATCGAGGGTTCGCATTCAGACCTTTCCTAGGGATCCAACTGACCGATGTGCTCCCTATTTTGTGTCCGTGAATCGGCGCACCGCCGATAAAGTACCTCGTGCCCTAATTGCAAAAGTCAATTTGTTGACCGTAGCCACAAAGAAAACTTCTTTCCTGAAACGAAGTAATCAGTTAATATGGTAATCGATCACGGTCTTTGTTATAAAATGGCGAATCTATTTTCGCTGTCTTGCCTTGAGGCACATGCAACATGTGCATACCTTGGATGATACTAAACGTGAAAGATGGAGGATAACGTCGACATAATGGATTGGCAGAACCATAGAAATCGTTTAATCATTAAAAGTAGTTTGCAAAATGCCGGGTTCCAAATACTACCCGAAACGTTCATCTTCCAATCTTTATTTGGCTTTCGACGACTAAGGGACGGTTGTACTAACACTCAAGTTAAAATCCTTAATCAAGTATTACTTAACGTGTAATTAGAGCTAATCCTCCAATTCCAGGTGGTTACCTAACAGCGGATTTTAAACTTCGGTGAGCCTAACTTTAGTCGGTGCAACGCGAATTTCACCGTTTCGAGATTAACTAATTACAGTTGAGAGATTTTTTCGCTAATCACGGTTGGTGCAATCAGTCCTGTACGTTTAATCACGGATTTAATCTGTATTGATGAGTCCATTGGAATTGCAAGACAGAACAATTTCTGGTAACATTTCCCTTTCCCACATTACTCTACTCGTGCTGTCATTTTTGTAAGTTACAAATGTCAATATACATCTCACCGTTTCACCCTTCCGTAACACTCCAACAATATTTTTTATATTTCTGCCTTACCTGGGCACCAGGTGTTGAATCGAAAATGAAATTCCAACGGCGGTGATTTCCTCGTTTTTCAATTACTTAATCAATAAACAAGCTCTAGTTATATGAAAAAGCGTAATGCATAGGTACCGTAACCGAGTCCGGAGCTCGGTGAAACCGCAGCAGACTGGAAATAACGCGAATTAAGGAATTCCAGCTGGGAGCTGAAACCGAGTTTTCCGAAAAGCGCGGCAGCACGAAAAAGCTTATAATTATCAAAGGAACGCATGTGAGGACGCATTTACATGAATTTCTGCTGTCCTTTCATTTTACCAGAGCCGATATTTACGGTCGCGTGCAATCCATGCGGCCATTACTCACATAGATATGTTTATTTTGACATCAGCTGCGATCGCGGTGCCTCGAGTGGACATTACGCACTAAAAAGCGATCTGAAAGCACCCACGCCCTTGTAATTGGATATGTCCTTATGAATTGACGCATTACGAGGGCCAACGGGATGCTCGATATCGCTTGAGCATCCTGGAAGGCCGATTTCCAGGAGAAGTGCATCGATTTCCTTTTAATACGTCAGGCGGTTTTAATTTAGCCAGAAATGATTTATTGCCATTCGGGGCAAACCCATACATTATGCTATCCTAAGCCTATTAAGCTGTTTATTCATTTACTTTCACCGTGGTTAATGTCTTACGAAGGTACATCTGTTTCACCTGTACATTCTTCATTTTCCCTTGAAATGACAACGAATTTAAGGAATTAAATGTACAATATATGTTTATGATTATAAACTAGAGATTAAATAAAATAAGTAATTGCATTTATTTACGGAATTTCTTATGCGATGTATGCAATAGTTAGGTAAGGGATGCAGTTCGTTAGTTTTTTTTTTCTTGAATTAAATAAAAGAAATTATGCAGTTCCGAGTGAACCGAAAGCGTAGGAAGGGTCTTGGGTGTATCGCAAAGGTCTTTAATTATGTGGATAAGAGGAATGCTCATTCTTGGTAGAACCATCTTAGTTGTAGGAACAATAGGGCAGGTTAAGTATTCGTATTAATCTTCATGGCGCGACCCTCCGTAGAAGGGCATTAATTTTAAGGGAACTTTACTCCGAAATTACGCAGCCGTAGAATGTTTTTTCTCAAATTGGCGCGCCTCGACTCTCGAAGCCCCACGAAATGGGCAAATTTTGTCATGATAAAATCAACCACGAATCGAGTGATCAAATCTCGAATCAGGCTCAACCCGTTCGCTATTAGCGTCACGTATATATGTGAATCTCCGATTCTCCGTGAACAATATGTGTGACAAATATATGACGGTTTTGACTGCTTAAAAAAAGCTTAGGATGTGGTGGGCGGTTTTCCAATCATATCGTGGCACAATAGTCAGATCAGATTAAATATTCTTTTGCCAAAGAGTAATTTCCGGCAATCGCTTTAGACGTTTGTTTTCTGGTTTCTCAGATTTTTACATACCCTATCTTAAATTATTTTATGTCATTATGTAACATTAGGCTCGTTCTAGTACATGTAAGGGTGATTTTGAACAATATAAGAAAAACACAAAACATTAATCGAATACGAGAGTTCGATTCTTTACTATTTATACATAACTTTCATAAATAATTCAAAATCTTATTTGGCACGTAAATATCATGTGTGCAAGGTCAAACAAAAAGTTATTTGTTTCGAAATATATACTGATGGGTATAACGTGAAATATTAAAAAATCCCTACATATCCCCGCTCAAAAGGATCATTAAATACTTATATAGTGCCTTTTAACGCAAACGTTATTTATAGCTGCGCCGTCTTATGCACTTTTGCAAAAGACAATAACAAAATATGTCTCAATTTTGCGCCTACTCAAAGTCGTTTGTTTTTAGGAATAAAATCATGAAATCTAAATCAGCCACCTTTAATTTTTGCAGATCCTGTCCGTAATGTACCACCGAGCTCTGCTCCCGCTAATTACATTCATTGATTTTTCTTTTATCATCAGCGCTTGACGACATTTACTAATGCAATATATTTTTCTAATTTCAACGCTGGAAGTATAATATGCTTCATTATGTACTATGATGTAAGATGCATAATGGAAGATTAAATTTTTGCTAATAGAATATTTAAGTTGACCCATTATGTGCGATAGCGAACGTATTAACACTCGCCAGTAAATGATCTACGTATTTCAACATATGAAGTTATGCAGCTTAGCTTCTGGAGTATAAATCAGTTATTTCGACCTGGGGCCGCAACAGGTAAGGTTACCTTAAAGACGAGCTTCCAGTAAATTCGTATCAGAATACAACGTTACAGCTCATGACGAAGTCCCTCTTCCTTTTCATGTTCACATCCGCCATTTTCTGCTACACCAGTTAACGAGGGAGTATTCACTTAGGAAATCATGGATTTTAATACTCGAAATGACATAAAAATCAAATGGAAATCGTTGGAAATCACCAAAACGTTGCCCCAATATTAATGCCGACTGTCACTTGTTACCGAATCGCATTGTTGTTTATCATATGAAATCAAAGGCAATCGGTTGTGAAAGAAGGAAATTACTTTCACTGATTCTCAAGTGACTAGCTCCTCGCGAGTTAATTATCCGTTTTTTATTCTCTCGTCGGTACATAATATGAAAAATATTACGAAAAACGCATTTCTGCTCGGTCGGATATTCGAAAATTCCGCCGAATGAACTTTATTCCGGTTGTGTCATAAAAGTGTAACATGTCCGAAATGTGTCGTGTTTGCAACGGTACATGAGGCAGGAAAGGTTAGAATTTTTGTTCCCTTCGTTATTTCGTTATTCCGCTCGCCTCCCCTTCCGGTTCTTCCGGGCTGATCTTCCGCCGGTGGAGGAAACCACCGACTCGTTAAAAATTCCTAACTAAATCTTTTTATTTCCATCGAAGAGCCACCACTGTTTCCACGTAAGTTACGCGAGCCATGGCGAGGCGTAGCGTGGCGCTTTATGTAAGTTCTTTACGGTGATGGACAGACTTTTAAAGGGACTTCGGTGACTCTTCGTTAAAAATTCTCGTATAAACTGCATAATTTGGTCACACCTTCTGCCCTTTCGAGAGGAGCGAGAAATCTGAGGAAGGTTATTCAATAATATTTCCCTCTAATGCTGGATCGCAATTCGTGGACCGCCGTAAACATTAATATAGAGAACGATAGCAGTTTACGTTAGAACAATATTTGACTTGCAAATACTATTTCGTTGACTAACATTGCAAAATCTGTGGGATCACGAAAATCTCGGGAAAACATGGCCAGGCATTCGAGTATTAATCATTTTCTCTCTGGCCGTTGCGAGAGCGACAGGAAACTCGCTTAACAAAAATGATCACCGACGTGAAAATTCGTCGAAAATGGTGAAAATATTTGATAATAACTAAAATAAATGTTAAATATGTGGGAGATCTCCTGAGCTTGTATTATCTTCTTGTTTTAACGCGTGGCAACGCTTTTAAGTTTTACTCTTCATGTTTGGCGAAATTGTGAATTGATCTCGTAAAATATTCTATCATCTCTCCTGGCCTTTAAATTCGGCCATGGTTTAGCTCCGCTCTTGATGACATTTCGTGTGTCCTTAATAATGGGACCGTATGAGTAACACGAAGTCGTAACGAAACGGCTACAAAAACCTACACGTGGAGCACGACTAACGCGAGTTCACGTCTTGACATTACGCGTTGACATACGGCTTCCCTTTATGAACGACGAGAGGGGCGTCTTGATTTTGTCCTCCTGCTTTTCGCAACGGAGCAAGAGGAGGTCTTTCACCTCTGCCGTCCTTTTTCTCCTGGGTTTACTATCGGTCTTCTATCGAAGGACACACGGGGAAGAGTGCACTTCACACCGCATCGTTACATCACGTTCGGAGCCATTTAAACAAATAATTCTATAGCAAATATATACCGATAATTGAAATGAAACTTCTCCTGGCACATTCGTAGGGTAAAACCCACCTGACTTACTTACCTCATCTTTGCTTTTTAATATTGACACAATTTTCATAGTTAAATGTTTTCATTAGTATTAATGAGTTATTCTCTCAATTAATTATTAACATTTAAGGTGAAAAGATTAAATAATAAATAAAACCAATTATGTGCATTATAATCAGTACCGAGCCTGTGCGAGCATTTCGTGGAAAAATAGGTAGGAATAATTAATAATATGTAATCATTTTATTTAATTTAGAAGTTTCACTCCCAATGCCCGTGGCGGCCACGCATCGATTATTTGATATACTGTTATAACTGTCTAGTTACTTTTTAAGTTAAAATAAAATTTACACGTTTGCGAAAACAGGCCTTATGATTATTTTCAAGGTACAAAAGATATCTGCGAATGTCGCTGTGACAAAAATATAACGTCGTCCAAATGTTTTATCTATGTCAAAGCTCATCTGGGAGGTAATCGAAAAGAAAGGTTAAGAAGATTAAAAAAGTTCGAAGCTCAAGTTTTTTTCTTCTCTGTTAATAACTTACCTTACGTGCGACCCCCGAGAGAAAGGGAATGCCTTGTTGAGCTTTTTCACCTTTTTGTCGACGCTTTGATGAGTTTTCGCATTTTTAAAAACGTGTGAAACATATGAGAGATGAAGGTGTTCACCTAACTTCCACAAATTCGTAGCGGCCTTTTACTCACCCTCACAAATTCACGCTTGTAAACAACCTAAAACAAAAAAGAAACGGTACATTTCTTACTTCATAGAAACGATCCGCAGCATATTCAATAATGAAGAAAATTATTTAACTTACTACGATAATTTAATTATGAAAGAAGAATGAAAAAACTGACACTTAGCCCTCGCCATCGGAATTACATTAGTATACTAATGTAATGCAGAAGTATTTTACTGCAAAATTACCACCGTTACTCTACAAGTTCTTTCACTTTCTGACAGTCATTTTACCATTTCACTGACTATCCGACGTAGGGTTAGTTGCGCCAACATTCAAGTTAAAATCCTTAATCAATTATTATTCCTCAACCTAATCCTTAACGCGTGTTAAAAATTAATCGCCCGACTTCATTTACCTAACAGCGGATTTTAATCTTTGGTTACCCTGACTCTTGTCGGTAGAGTGAAAATTCCACTAACTCGAGATCAACTAACTATACTTAAGAAACTCGTTACTAATTACCGTGTATTTAGTCCCTAAGTTATCCCATATCCTGGCCTATAATAACAAATCCTAAGCTATAAACACCGTCACAAAGTACCGCGCACAAGAACGTATAACCAGTCCATACTATTTGCTGATTTCTGAATACTGGCTAATTTTTAGTGCGCGACTTGTGATGTCACTTCAGAATTCACCTAGAAAAACGAGAGAACTTCCGGAATGACTTAATATCTCTATCACCCGAATCCGCATCTTTAATATTCCGTCGACGTCGTCCCAGATATATGTCGATCTATTTATTTTCCATGAATCGATTGGACTCGAATGGTCTTCACCAACGTCCCATTAATTAGTTCCCCGAGTTAGGACCCATCGATTCGACTTTCGGGGTTCCTCTTAATCGCCTGTAGCAGAAGTGCGAAAAATGAGGGAAAAGAGGGCAGGGAAGGAGGAAGTTTGCGAAGCTCGGGACGCTTGCGCCCCTTGGGACGCCGGGCGCCTTCTGCCACCTGTGCACCGCCCTCGTCCTCGTGTCGGCGTGCGATCCGAGCTCTAGCCTATATATAAGGGGACGCCCGGCGTAGCGCCACTTCGCATCGCGTCGACGCCACCGCGAAGCGCCCTTCTCAAGCCGAGGTGACTTACGCCGCTCCTTCGAGTTCGCGGGCAAACGCTCTCCTGAGAAATCTTCGCCGGTGAGTGTCTTTTTGCGAGTCCGGTTCGTCCCGCAGCTTCGTGCAAAACCAGTTGCACAATCCGCGATTGCCTTAGAAAATTTATTTTCTAGACGAAATTAATTACTTCCGGCGATCTAAACGTCTGTTGCCAAAGAAATTTATCTTGGCTCCAGGAAAATTGATTCCGTGACAATCATCGGTTTTGCGATCCGAACGATGGCGGGTTAATGTCAAGTGGACATTGTTTTGCGGAATGAATTTTCTTTTTGTAAAATCGGTCTTCTTGGTTGAAAACGTTAATAGAGATTACGTCACGTTTTGGATGGATCGTTGTATTCAACTCAACCTTGTGTTTGGTGTAAAAAATTCATTATATTTATTTTAAGTTGATGCAACACCGAGTTCGCGGGTTCAATTTTAGACCTTTAAATTTGAGAAAATCAGACCTTTCAATTTAAGAGAATCAACCGCAAAATCCTAATTCTCACCTTCCCAGTATTGTTCACTTTATTTTCAGTAACGTGTTACCACGTTGCATATATATTTTCTTAATTTTGCAGAACCAAACACGAGTTAATGTACTCTTAGCTTTCTGCCATCGATTTATTAGTAACGTTCTCCTCTCTATTATTTTTTACTCCGGAGAAAAAATATTTATGGAAAGTTGGTCAAATGGCTTCAAAGGGTTAGATAATAACTTCTCTATAGAAGGAAACTACTTTGAAAAGGATATTTTCTATACCAGGGTCCTTTGTTATTTCGTTGCCTGTTCCGTCGACGTTCTATCCACGCGCCAAGAGGCGCCGAAAAGGGGTCTATTTTTTAAATAAATATTTTTAGGCGGCTTCGGCAAGTGAACGGAAACTAGAGCATGTATAGGTGATGTCATGCTTGGAAACACAAATTACGTCCTGACACAGGTGGTACATACCGGGAGCGTCGTAGTAACAGCGATAGTGACTACCGGGGGGTAACTCGTGTAAGATTATATCACGATATAGATGCCATGTAGATTTTCCCGGCGATATTATCGTGTTGCTTAAATCCACGGATCGATAAAGCGGGAAAAAGAACTTTTCCCGCCATCGGGCCGTTAAAGCGAGGACTTTGACGTTTTAATCACACTGATTAAAACGCAATGCTGAAAGCGTAAAGAGAACCTTCTGTCGATGGAAGAAGGACTTAGTTATATGAAATTGGAGAAACAGACATTCGGAAAATTGAAAACCGGCGTATAATACAATTATAGTCCCATACATTCTCTCGCGTTCATATAAAAGGGGTATTTGTTTATAACTTTTAATTGAATAGGAGCTGAAGAGCTTTTAATTATTGCTGGCTCTAATTCAACGATTTCCTGGGAATCCTTTCGTGTGCAGTAAACGGGTATAATTTCTTATTTTATAGAGATATATTAACATTAAAACTATCAAGTTGATTAAATAATCGGTTTTCAAATTATTCCTTAAATTGTATTACTTAACCTCAACTGATTTTACTACTTTCGATATTTATATATAAGGTAAATTTTACAATATCTGTTTCTCATCTCTCGCGGTTTGTTCCGAAATACATATTTACTACACCTATTTCTACCATGACCGGTTGAATAGTCCAATTTAAAGTTTTAGGTCTAAATTTTGATATTCCGCGATGTTAATTCATTCCATACATACACATAAAGCAAATTTGTGTATTCCTATTTAATTTGTTTGTATTAATTAGATATCACCGCAATACAAATAATATTCATCGGGTGCGCTTATTTCATCGGTGTGCTTTTCGCACTTACTCTTGGGCAGTAAGTTAAACTAGAAATATTATTGTTTATTATTATGCCATTATAGAGTAGGAAAATTTGTTTAAAAACTTACAATACTGACAGTTAGTATTATATTTTATTTTTAGCATAACATTCATTTATACCTGTAAAAACGTCGATAATTTCATAATACACAGCGTTATTCAATGAAAGAAAGAGAGAAATTAAAGTGCACAAATAATTCTTTTGAGTAATGATTACAAATTTATTTCATTCATTATTACCCTCACTAAACTGACTTGACTCGCATTCAATTCACAAGAACATAACTTTTATTCTAAAATCGGCCATTCAACAGGTTTCAGTAGCATTTGTATATATGCATTGCCGGTAGTTTTAGTGTTAAGGCCTAAAAAAAAAAAATGTGAAAAAGGATTTAAACTTAAATGTAATATTACTAATTTTAGGAGCTTCAAAGAAGTACATATTCAGATATAAGGAACCGGTTTCCTTAATTAAAGAAATCTGTCGTCTCACCTCTTTTATTACTAATTTGCTTGACACATTGCTGGACATTAATATAATTTCCGCCGAGGTAATAAACGAGAAAACGCGACGTTTTTTGGATAAGAGCTCATGGGTTGCGCGATAAAACGGGCCCCCGCTCGATTTTTATCCGCTCTCTCGAGTAATTACTTTGCACAGGGTGCGGGGAAAAATGGTGGAAGTGAACAATAAATCTAATAAACCTGGATCTACGTTGTATTTCAATTCACGGGGAAATAGAGGAAAGTCTGTCAACGCCGGGGAGTCCGGAGTCGCGTTTATTGCACGATTCAGTTCTTATTCGATTCGTGAAAAAGGTTGCAAGTCCGAATTATGTAAAACCCGTTATAAAAATAACGGACTAGCGAGTTTCTCAATTATAATACTTGCAATTGATCCATTATAAAGTGCACAATGGATTAGCGTGAACGCTGATTTTATTTCCAAACTTTTTTACCTCGGTACCTCGAGCTCCCTTACTCGCTGTGAGCGAATTTGTTATTTTTTATTTCAGCAACGGTGCATAAAAATGGTAACGCGAGGTGCATAAAAACGAAGGGTCCGTGGGAATTTTAAATCAACAACCTCGCAAAGTTACGGGAGCTTATAAGAAATATTATAAAACCAATTATACATATTCACCCTTCCAAATTTTTGTAAGAATACAATCCTAAGTTTCCCGTGGAAGTGCTAATGCTATTTGTTTTTCAATCTATTAGAACCGTGCAAAGTGGAAAATATGCACAGCCCGAAACTCAAGACTTAGCTAAATTGTTATGCCATTTTCATTTAAATAACCATTTATTTCGTAATCTCTGAGGTAATTCTAGTTTTTCAGGAATTATGTGCTTTCAATTCTGCAAAATGTGGGAAATGCGTTGACATGTGTATTCGAACATGACTTCTACTGAAAAAAATTAATTCTGGGGAAAGATGAAAATACTTAATTTGATTTTGAGGCTGAATCGGTATTTTTTAATGTTTAACATCAAAACGTACAGGTGTCTCGTCCCTCCTTTTGCGGAAGACATCAGGATATTGGAAATTATTAGGCGTTAAGCTGATGCACTTCCTATCAAGTTTCAGTGCAGCTTCTAGAATTTCATTATGACTTCGCGAATTACTTGATAAACATTAAGGACACGGGCTCTCCTGGAGGCTAGCTTAATTTAAATAATAATTAGATCCGTGAGAAAATCCGTGTATCTCGCACGTGGAAATGTAAAACCACCAGAGGATCGATATTTCTGAAAACATGACTTTGTTCGTGTTTACCGTATAATTCTGAAAGAATTAAAAAATTCATAGGAGTAATGAACAATCTATCAACGTAACAAGATTCTTTTTGAGGTAGCTTAATATGTACTGTAACGCCCTTTAATCTTTTGCAGATTTAATTAAATTCGATTTGATTGAAGTTCAGAATGAATTAATTATCGATCAACATCATTGGTTAGATTTAACTGCAATAGAGTCACAATATGGATTAAGGATTTATAAAATAACAAAGGCAATGCCCAATATTTCATATCGGCAGAATAATTTATTGTATCTAGAGAGACAGAGCTGGATTTGCTGAAAAAAAAACAAACAATTCTAGTAATATTAATTTCCTGAATGTATGCTAAATTCATTTCTGTGAATTATATAATTATTTTGGCACAATCAGATATGTATCATTTGGTCAATTTTTCGAAATTCGAAATCATTTTGGTTAATTTTATTCAAAGCTGGGGATTTCTTATTTTGCATTATTTTTCACAAACAGGTTCATCCTTGATTGATAATAAAGGATACGAAATTGTTTAATTGCAGATACATCAATCAAAATGATGACAAAACGATGCATGGGAGCTATTGTTTTCGTGACATGTCTGAGTATTGCTTTGGCGGCTGAAAGTTACAAGGATTATGAAGGTGAGTGTTTTTTATAATCGGTGCAAAAAAAAGAGAAATAAAAGGTAACGAAATATGAAATTGAAAACACTAATAGGCTTGGTTTCATTTTTTGCGCCGACATCAAATTTTCTAAGCTGTAATTACTTAGAAATCTATAGTAGTTAATAGATAAGTAGTTTATACATCATTACTTTTTAGTTATCAGTATCCTTTTTGAAGTCGATTTCTTTTTATTAAAAAGTTTTTATTTGGTTGAAAAAACTAATTTCACGTTAATGTAATTTAAATGTGTGCGATGCAAAATATGGATAGTCATTTTTTGAGATTTTTAACTTAGATCATTTTCATAATTACTGAAAAAAAAAAAAGTATTACATCCAAGGAAAGCGAATTGTACATATTAAAACCTGAGTTTTTACGAAAAAAGTCGGGATTAATACATATCTCAGGTACATGGTCCGTTTAATACGAAAAACCTGCTCCAGCCTAAAACTCGGCTTATAAATCCCGCCGAGTAGTTCCTCAAACTGTAATTAAAATATTTAGCACCCTCGAGGAAGATATTAAAAGGGAGTTTCTCGTTTAATTTACCTCCAAGCAATGAGTTTACACGCACTTTCTGGCTTCCAGCAGTGCGATTTCTTTGGGAGGGTTTACATTACTCGGAACAAAAAATAAAAATGCAGTATAAGTTAAGTTTTAGATTTCTCCGTTTCGTAAGTAAATATAATTATACTGCGTCAAGCGACATTGAATTCCTTCTTCAAACTCGTTTCATCCGTTCCGTGTATACACTATCGATAAAAGTCCACCGACAGTGTCTATAAACTCTATCGGCTATATTTTAACTTTATTGATTTTCTATACACGTTTCAATTTTAGCCACCTTCAGATTTTCGTCCAGCTCCCCGTTAACGCAACGTCAATTGAGACAGATGTTTTAACAGCAATTGCATCTGCATTGCTCTTGATGTTGAATCTATGCCTCTCCACTTCAAGTGCGCATAAAAACATTGCGATTTACTCTGGATAACATTCTCAAAGAAAAAATTCTTCTACTATAGTGGAATATTCGTACAATAGCATTCGAAATTTGATGTGCGTGATCGAAAATCAGTGACAAAAGTATTCTAGTTTTCGTATACATGTCTTCTGACAGTCATACATCGGTACATGTACCTTCGTACATAAATGTCCATGAATTCTCATAAATGTGGTCGAGAACTAGTCAGCCCTTTCAAAATGTTAACAAATAATTCCGATATTTAGTATGCATTCCATATGAAATTCGCGTACTTGTACATTAAAGTCCGGAACACAATTGTGTACGCAATCTCAAAACATGTATCTTGGAAAAACCTCGGCTAAATCTATACTTTATTTCGAAGAGATATTTTTAATAGTATACGGCACTTGCCACGTGTTGAGTGTAGGTAGATTTTTTGGCAAATCGGGGTAAACGCAACCCCGGCTTATATAGGTGATAAACGGTAATCGCTGGCACCTCCTACTCTAAGTGCTGACCGTAAAGCGGTTTTAATACGACGTAAAAGGAAACTCCTTAAAACGCTCCTTCCCCCCGGGAAACGTATCCTTCTGCTCCTCTCGGGGGGTTATTTAATTACGACAAAGTTTTCCCCGCAAAGGGGAAGATTTCTTCGGAGAAAGTTCGCCGACACAAGGGTGGTACATTACACAGGGTGCACCCATCTTACGGGTGCTAGAAACACCCTTCGTGCAATATTTATACATCACGGGACGCCCAACGGGTTTACATATGCAGATTCATGAGGTATATACATATACCTATAGGTATATGTACTGGTGCACTTCCTTCACGATAACGGAGATACCGTAACGTTTCGGTGATGGGGAAATATTTTTCCTTCCTCGGAATACTGCTGAAACGTGTCTAATAAGTTGTCTATGTCTGTATTTATCACCCGCCAACTTTTTCCTCGATTTTATTCCATCTTTTATGTCAGCCAGCGATATAGCTCGCAGCCGCGTTATCACCGGGAAATAGGGAAGAGTTTAGCCGACGTAAGCTAAGACATATTTCATTCCTTCGTGAAATACTGTTCCTTACACCTTGCCTCCGGTGAGGAACTGCAATTTAAAATGAATTACCTTGCGGTGAAATAATACTTTCGAAGTGAAACTTCTTATGGCACTTTAGTACGTGTAAATGAAAGTCATGAAAGGGTCCGGTTTCGGAAAATCAAACTCTTATTCTTTTTCTTTTTCTTTTTTTTTTATTGCAGTTAACCCTTTGCACTCCAAGCAATTTGGCTATACGCAGATAGTCAACTCCAAGACCTTGTCTTAAGAGTGCAAAGGGTTAATTACTATTTACATTCATATTTGTGTTATGTCACGTTTTCGTTAGTATGTTATACTCTGAGTTAATTATTGACATTTAAAATGAAAGAAAAAGTGATACGAATAAAAAAAGGTAATCATGCCCGAAATAAACCAGTACCAAACGCGTAAGAGCATTTCTTGTGAAGGAATAATGAAAAATAATTAATAATATCTAATAATTCTCTTTAACTTAGAAGTTTAACCTTCAACGTGCGTGGCAGACACGCACAGAGTTTGTTTTTCTTGTAAATGCAAAAACGGATTTGTGCAATTAATTGTATGTATTGGGCAGGTTAACTTACCTACCGTTAATAATTTAACCCAAAATCTCATCATAATTAATATACTTCTAATTCGTATGGAGAAATATTTCGCGGATTATTTGAAATACATGAAAACGAATGCGTTTCTTTTCTTAGCAGAGGACGTGGCAGAAAGGCAGTCAGAAAATCTGAACAACCTGTTCAGATTGTACCTACAGCGAAACTTAGTGGACAACGTGGGAGGAATCCCGATACAACATCTAATGATACGGAAATCTCAGAGATCGCCTTCGTATCGCCTTCGATTCGGACGATCCAATGGCCTTATGCCGGTAAACACTGAACGTTCAATTTTTATTAGCATGTAAAAACAATTGCATGTGTATGAAAATACGTATGCATTTGAATGACACCTAACCATCGTGTTACCCTGGCCTCACATCAGAGGACGAACGCGGACGAGACAAAACGAAGCCAAATGGTCATACAAGTGTGGTCATACAATCAAAGTGCTGCAAACTGCTTCAAATTGTACGATGTATGACCTGCGGCAGGGCGCATAGCATTTGTCAAGATACCCTTTCGTTGGCCCACAATATTAAAAATGTTTGGATATCTCGAACGCTTTCGAATACAAATGTTTACTGAAACCAAAAGGCAGCGTCACTCAGAATGAGAACGGAACTAATTGTATACTACATTTCGAAAAGCACCATTTTCACGGGAGAATTCTTACAAAAGTATCCAGAATTTTTAACAAAACGGTAACATGAGAAGGGAAATCAGGACGAATGTATAAGAACTACAATGCGATCTTTCCCCAAATTGCAATTGTATATGAGTACATGATCAAAAATCAGTATACAAAGGTAGCTCATTTTCGACATGTCTTGTGATAGGCGTACCCCCGTACACCTACTTTTGTACCTGTACAAGTAGCTATGAATTCTTAAATTTGAGATCAAAAATTAGTATACATTAAATTTTGGAAATTTAGTACATATGCCTTGCGAATCTCGTATATTCGTAGATTAAAATCTCCGAACACAATTATACAGGAAATTTGGAAATACCGTATCTTGACAAAAGACTACATGTATACCATATTTCGAGTAGATATTTTTACCGGTAAAGATGATTCAATTCTTAATCCAAAAACAGCCACGAATGAGCCGTTGCGTGTTGTCTCGTACGTATTCGTACTCGGATCATAAAACTCAATACAGTTTCCGTCAAATATACTTTTCGCACAAACGGTACCAAATATCATTAATCGCATATACATGTACCCAGCTTTCCACCGAATGGTTAGCTGGAAACTATATATGGCTGATTCAAAGGACGATTGGTGCAAGAAAAAGTGACAATTTCCCGAGGTGTCTCTCCTCAATATCGATACGTCTGACCAGTCGGTTTTTTCCCCGGAATCTTTTCATCATCCCTAATTCGAAGGCTCCCTCTACTTTCATGGGACTTCTAATTATCGCGGTTCGCTGGCTTCCCTAGCATGCTTCCAATTTCCCACCTCTTCTCGAAGACGTGCCTTCCCCTAGATACCCTCGTTTACGTCGATTCAAATGTCGGACCTTTCATTAACACTTCGACGGAGATCAAATGAAGAAACCGAGAATGTTTCCTACCCTAGCGGCTTATTTCGCGCCGACGAGCTTCATCTTATGACGAATGCAAGTTCCGCTTTGAAGTCTGCCCTACCGTTCTGAAGAAGATCTAATTGCCGCAAATAATACAGCCCTCGCTACTATTAATCTTCATGTCTTCGGAGTTGAAATCATAGTCGTGTAATAGACTATGTTTGCGTTACCCAGTTTTACATTAATTGTGCTTCGGCGTAGCCTTGGATATGTGGAAATTGGAAATGGATTCGTCGGTATTGCAATTTCTTCAGGGTAGGGCAGACTCTTAACGTGGATAAGATTAGGAAGTGCGTTTTAATCAAAGTTAATGTTAAAAGAGAATGGAAAAATGTTTGACGTTTCGAGGAGAATTTAAATTGAGTAAAGGTTTCATAATGGCGGACTTGTGGATGCTCGTCATTTCTGATTTTTTTTTCTCCATGGTGTATGTGGCTCTAGGAAAACGGTGAATCTGTGACCGAGAGTTAAGGTGGTTTCAGAAACTAGGAAAGATTCATTTTAAACCGATGGCACGGAGTTTTGACGAAAATTTCGGTTCAAATGATATCAATGATTAGAATGTAAAAAACAATGTACAATTAATTTCTATTACCTATGTTTCTTTTTCTAAAATATCTGAATTTCATACTCATCGAAAACCGGTGGCATCGAATCTTAAATAACTTTACCCAGTTTCTAAAACCACCTTAAATTTTTCTTTCAAACTTGTCCTTCTGAAATCATGTACACCGTGAAACAGAAATCAATATAGTCAAGCCTCCACAAGTCCACTATTTGGAACATTTTAAACCTTTATTTAATTTAAATTTTCTTTAAAACATTAAATGAAACAGCCTCGTAAGTAAATGTTTCCAACATCATTTCACTCTCTTTGAAACTCACTTTGAATGAAACGCAATTCACAACTCTCTTAGGACACTTATTAGAAATAAGTTAATTATTAATAATGTGTTTCAGGCGTCATCGGGAATGGAGACCTCGGAGTATGAAAATAATTAGACGGGTGTCCTCGTAGATGTCGCGGTGGAAGAAATTTTGATCTTACGAAAACTGATTTGTGCAGATCTACACACTGAAGTCAATTTGGTGTACCAGCTTTTAGAAAGGGGACTCTCTATCCATTTGTCAAGGAATTCTGTTCCCTTTTCGATTTCTTATTTTATATTTTCGTCGATTATTGTCTCTCAGCTCTGGAGTAAAAATTCTAGCACTATGGCGAACGGCTTCAGGCCTAAGTACCTTTGGCGAATAATCCGCAGTTAAAAGAAGAACCTTTTGAAGCTTCTCGGTCATCGGTTAATCGAGATCTCGCGACGATATATGCCATTGGTCTCGGCTTACCGGCAGGCTCTAGGGGTTTGCCAATAAATGTGCCAAATATTGTAACTGCACTGCATGCTATATATTATGTATCCAGGACGCTGGCCAGTTATAACGCTCGATGTGTACGCAATAAGAAATCTATCGATAATTTTCTAAAAAAAAGGATACCGTCTAGGCAGCACCGGATCCCTATTCTCGATTTTAACTGTATTCAATGAAATATTTATCAGAGGCTTTTGATAATACAAATGTTTACGTGGAAATAGGACCGTCGATTTGGCGACAGGAGATTAAAACCGCATTTATAAGTTACAAATGCCGGAACAAGAACATTGCTTTCGTTACAAACATGTTGCTTATAATAACCAACTGTAAAGAAGGTGCCTCAGAGAACATAATAAAATAGTCGACTCTTTACTTATCCGCTTATAATTTGTTAGAGAATTGATCTGTATGGAGTGATGCATCACGAGGATTGCATTAGAGTTGACGCTGTAATGCAGAGCTAAATACATATTTTACTACAATTTCTTGATTACAGTTGACCAATTTAACTATAAAGCCCCTCGGGCAATTCGCAATTGCCGGACTTTGCCTCACGGCTCTGTTTCAAATTGCATTTAAGCTGATTTATTATGTGATAAACGGATTTAAATAATTTCATCATTTGAAGGATGGAAATCTCCAATGCAGCTGTCCTGATATTATTTTAAAATATCACTTGCCTTACTCTTCCCACGGTCCTATTTTGGTTTGCATTTATGCCGATTTATTGTGTGACAAACGGATTTAAATAATTTCATAATTTAAAGACTGAAACTTTCCAATGCAGCTGCACCAATATTATTATTGCCAAAACTGACTTCTTTCTTATACGATAAATATGAATATTGATAATAACGATATCGTACGTTAAAGAGTGACTAATAGTTCACATGACTGTCACCTGTCGCTGGATGGCGGAATCAATTTCATCGGGCATACGCTTTTCATTGTTTAAGTCGATTGGCTTTCCCGGAAAATATCTGTTTAATGGTATTAGCTATTTCGCGCTCGTCGAGGGGAAGTTCGGATAAATTTTTAAATTCTGGACGTGCGAGTACTTGACTGCGCACTCGATCACTCGAGATCGACAGAGGTTTCATTAACAGCGTTTTCCAGTTTCCCTCAGCGTACCCAGTCAAAAACTGGAAAAGTAAAATTACACATCAATATAGCGAATTCGTTTGATCCATTAGTTACATTATTTCCATTACACGGAGAAAAATGCATTACATCTTTGAACATAAGCCTAATTACAACAAACCAGCGCAGGCATAATTACGATCAGGAACAAAGCATAGCGGCACGATTGTAAAGAAACATATCCTATTTTATATTCGTTGCGTTGCGATTGCTCTCCTAAATAAAACGTATTTCTTGTCGCAATATTGCGTATACAACCATTATACTAGTCAAAGTAAGTATTGTTATTCCAGCCTTGCTGATTTGAAAATATTTTTCTGCAGAAGAGCAATCGCTACCAGCAGCGTTGAAATGGTTGCATTATTAGTAATATTTTACTATTTTAATTTCATAGTGCATTAATATTAAATGATAGTCTCATCCGGACTGAAATGATAAAAGTCTCCCGTATCATTTTCTATAGTGGCCTAATCATTTTTCTTCGTGTACTTTAACTCTTACGAACCTGATCGAAGGCTATGTCCTCGATATGAAACATAACGTGTAAAAGTGACTTCGATGTTATCGCCTTCATCGGCATGGAACAAATTGTCGGATACTTTCCGCCGTGATATCCCAGATAATGTAAGACCCAATTGCTGGTGCGAAGTAGATACTCGTGGGCCACCTCAAAAAAGAAAGAAACAATACATTTTCACCACCAAAAGTAATAACAGCAACCATGTATCGATAGATCCCTTTATCAGTAGTTTCACTATCGAGTGTCGAGAGATCCGTTTATGCCGTTTCTACCGCACCTAAAATGACGCCGATAAAGTATAATCAAAGTTACCAGAGAACTGTATACTAGTGAATGATAATTCACTTCTAAAATATTTATTTATTGTTAATTTTTCCTGTTAGGGATTTTTTAATGGGAGTCATAGAAACCTTTAGTGAGCGTCGCCCCGTGTCGGTGAACAGCAGTTCATCTGCGTAGGTCTCCGCAACACAGGGAAGATTTTCTAGCTCCGTGTTCCGCAGTTTGGAATCATCGAACTCTAGACTAAAATAAGAGTTCTAAATCACCTGAACTGACGTGTGTGCTATGTGAATTGGAAATAAATCGAATCTTTCCTCTCTGATATTGAAATTTGTCATCTTTTTTACTCCTATACGCAAATGACTTCCAAGGCGACTATTAGAATGCAGGTGATGGAAGGACTACTTAGACTACTTATTGTTAGTCTCTTTCCTAGGATTCAGTGATATCCTCACCTTTCTGCTATAAGTCCGACCAAGGTATCGATCTGGTCGGTATGTTTGTTGTCCTCGTCGATGCTACAAAGAGCTTCTGCCAGAGTGGTCGCAGAAGAGGCTTTGTCATGTGGATTAAAAGGCGACATTTCTACAGGAAGTTCCGCGGAACTTGGTAAACTACTCTGGTCGTCCGATTTTATGGATTCGGACACTTCCAACAGAGCAGTGTACAGGGATGAGCACAGTACTTGAAGGACAACGGAACCTCCTAGAGGATGACAATGAGCAGGAATGTTTCCATCTAATGCAAAAGCTAGTCGTAGAGCGCCAATCGGAGCGCATAAATACAGCTCGGTTATGCAAGCCAGGGCCAGAGACATTGCTTGGTAAAGACTGGCTCCTGTCTGTAAATGGTACAATAATGTGAATACTACTCCTCAACAAATACGCATACTACGAGTAAATGAACAAACACGAAGAGGTGCCCTACAGAGCGTTGATTATTGCAAATTCCTCATTTCGGATAATGGAGCAACGCACAGACTGTTTAACTATTAAGTTTTATAAAATTGTATGCTTTCATGTATCTTCCAGTGGAGATTTTACAATTAGTTTCATGAACGTCGAAAATTACCTTTGCGGCTTCTAATAATGTTTCAACGATCGGTGTCATCATTGGACGCAAAGGTGTTAAAAGTGCATTCAACCAAGGTGGCCGAGATTGACTCCACACCTGTAATAAAAACTATTGTTCACTAGAGTTCGATTAGAATGCTACACTATTTATCTAAAATCCAATAATTCTTTTTTTTTCAAATCATTGCGTTTCTAAGAAGGTTTAAAAATGGAAAGTTGCTCGAGGAGGAAAGTCAGTCTTATAGGACAAGCTCATTTTAGCACTATTTATGGCAACAAATTCTGTGTAGCTTAAATCCTTTAACAATTGACAACGATATTGAATTTTGAACAATTACAGAAGTACGATGGATCAATTTTCATAGATGAATAAATCATTTTTTACTTTATGTACCTGTTGCCTATCGAGGTATGTGTACCATGATTCGTCTTGTTCGAGAGCTGGTATAATTATTACAGAAGGATCCACTGTGGTGCAAACGCATATATGAACAAGGCTGTACAAACCCAAAGCTGGAGATATATCAGAAATTTGATAGCATGCATTGCCAGGACAGAGGAATCCGCCACATCCTGCAGATTCATCTTTAGAATCACTACATTGACCTGAATTCTCTTTCGTGGTGTAGCCGACACATTGACGAACCAAAGCGCTCACCAATATTTTCATTACGGCATAATTATTCATTCTAAAGACCTAAATGTTCTCAAAGTTAATAAAGTGCACTGAAGATATTACTGCACTTAATTCTTAAATTTCTGATGTTACTAATGCAGACCATGTTCTTCGAAAGTTTTGAAAATGTCAGAATAAGTCGGAAAGACTTGAGTAACAAAAAATGTAGTTACCCTTAAATGTAACATTTTCTAATTTTCAATGAATGCATGAAAAGTTTGTAGTATGAAAGTAAAAATTTCAGAACGTGAATCATAAAATGTACCATACTTTCATTAACTGAGACCAATTAGGCTGAGGTTGAGACTTTAACACATGCAACTCCAGTATCACGGCTTGTTCTTCGGGTAAAACCGGCGAATCGAATTTCAATTCCGACGTGGCACATTTTAACAACTGTGGTGCACAAAATAACAACCAAAGTGCTGGTCCACTTCGAGGCTGTGACATTGCCAAATTGCCCAACCCTTTTCGGAATACCTAGGAAAATGTTCATAAATATTAAATTAAAAATAAATCCAGGGCCATTATATTTCGTCGATTCTTCATTTACCATCTTTTCCATTCTCTAATAAATCGATGGAATCGGTGTTACACGAAGAATAGAATAAAATTATAATTTGCCATTTTAGTTTAGTTATTCTGAAGATGTCATAATACCTGATACAAAATCTTTAATGGAGTTCCTCGAAGAAGCAAATAAATAAGCAGTTCATTGCACTTTGCATGGACATCTCTCAAAGCTATGGGTAACTTTTTCACACACATTCCGGCTAAATCACTTCCATCGGTACACGCACTCAAAGCTAAATATGCAGTACAGCATAAAACATTGAATGCGTCTCCCCAAAATTGCTGAGACCGAGCTAGGCTTGGTTTACCCTGCGTGTTAAATGAGTTGTAACATATTATACGTCGATTTAATTGTGGACTAAACTTAGTCTACGATATAAAAGTGTATAAAATACATCTTCATTGCAGAGCCTTTTATTTAATGTGAAACTATGACGGCAAATTTTTGTTCTTACGTGGATAAAACGGCAGGTGAGGATTGTAAGAGATTCGTTTAGCATCCCAGTAAACACTCGCTGCGCCATTTTTGGTGACACGGTATTCCATAAATCTGCTTTGGTACCTTCCATAAAGTTTGCGATCATGTTTTTTTTCTTACTACATATATATGTACAATTTTTTAAATACAAAAGCAATATAAATATTTCCTGATAACATTTGCAAGAAATACTTATTTTCAAGTGTAATCTGCTGTGCACCATGGTGCTTGGTATTTCGACTAAACTAACACTTCCTATCTACTAAAAATGGTAATCGAAGTACCTTGCATATATAACCACCACATTTGTATCACGAAGGAGCATCTCTCTTTCTCGAAAAAGGGTTTCTCGTAATGCCAGCTAAGAGAGTCGGCTTCGTTTAAAATGTACAGAGATATAAGGCGGCAGTGTAAATCCAACAATCTCTCCGCTACGGCTTCGGCCATTTCGTGAAAGCGTTTATGGCTTTTGGACATTTGTTCACTGTTAAACCAATACCAAGATGTCTAATTTACATAACTTGATTTGTAATTGAAAAAAGAAGGCGTCAAGTGATGTGGTAAAATTAAGGAATATTTATAATCTACTTTAATCTATTAACCAAGTGTGTGATTGTGAAAAGCAAAAGCAGTACGTGATATAAACTCTTGAAATTGGATCTGCACTACTAGCTGTACCTTAAATCTTGAGAAATGGATTCCTTTATTTGTTGATTGTAACACAACAGACTATTTCGAATTAATGCAGCGGCGCCTAATGTAGCGGTCAGCACTGTAAGATCGGCATGATCCAGGGCTTCTTGGATTAACGTGTGTAAATGCTCTAGAAATCGATTATAATTAATCATTTCAATCCTTTAAGCAAAGAAGTTGTTGAACTAGTAAAACGGATGACCACCTAAGAATTGTTGTGAAGTATCCACGATCATTGATACAAAGTCGGAGGGTTGCAAATTTTTAACTACTCCTCCTGTGCTTGTACTCAATTCGATGCTCGTCGAACTTAGGCCTGATGCACGTTTGAAAGCCGCAGTAAATTCCGCTTCCCACCACATAACGATTTTTATGGCACCGAAGGAAGCGTGTCGCGGAAAATCGTGTTTTCCACCACTTACTCTTATGCACAGAGGCTCTCGAAGTACGGTCTGCATGTTCTGTCGTATAACTTATATTATTTTTTGCTTCCCAGAGAAAAAGTAATATTTATTGGAATTATCACAGGCCATAGATCAATCAATATTCTATTATTAAAGCTAATGTTCTTTGAGGAAAGTGGAACATAACTCCCAATTTGAGTATACAAGTGTATAAAAATTAAAAAATAATTTAACCCTAACTGCACTACCTCATAATATTGCATATCTCGTTGTAGCAAAATGCGAACACGATCGACCAAATTGCCATCTTCCATAATCTCCATGGTTGATCTACATAAAAAAGTAACATAACTATATAAATGCGTAATACTTATTCCATGTAATAATCGATATCGAAGTTGTACAAGAAAAAGGTGCACTTATGATCAAGAAAACTGTGACAGAGCACACATACAGTGAATGTATTTCACAAACCAAATTGCAGTAGAATCAATGGTTCTTCAAGTATTTATCTATAGTTACATTTATTAAAATCAGGTTGCTTTGGGGCCACTATATGAGCACTTGTTGAAAGTTGTTTGAAACTGCACTATCTTGGGAATCTCACTGTCAAGTAATGCGTGCAAACTTTTTCCATCGTGCTTATAAATCCACTTGTCATCTATGAAATCATAACGTTTTGGACCAGATTTTGGAGACGATAGCCAAATTTGCCTATTTGGTGTTTGACGATTAATTACATATGTGCCATATTGTTTCCCAAATTTGACCGTTAATACACCATCCTGAAAAATATTAATATTTAAATCAATATTAAAAAGACATAAATAAGTATCTGAGAGTACAATAATGTAGATAATAACTTACCCCGTATGATACATCGGCATCTTGTAAATGATTTGCCTGTTCCACGAGCTCATCAAAATATTCACTTAGTGATTCTAGCGTTTCATCCGAGATCTTTTCAAATTGTATTCTACTGATTTCTCTACAATACAACCCAGTTATATAAATAATACAAGAATTACTTATATTTTAATATCACCGTAATGCATTACATTTAAAAGTAATCATTCTTAAAGAAAATTAACTTTTAATCAAGGAATTCCTTACATAATATTAATATTGTTATAAATTAAAATTTTTGCATGTGAACTTACGTTACAGATGCTTCAGTAATATTACTACTTGCGTCGCGTTCCGCAATCGTTATATGACGGAAAGTATTGACATTATTCGGATATTTTGCTCGGCAAAGAGCAACATAACCTCCAACCTGGGTGTCGCATGGAACAGTCACTTGCCAGCGTAAGTTTCTTCGAATACTATATCTCAATACATTATGAGGAACTTTATTACTCAAAGCTATTCTTCCTCTCACTGGGAACATTCTATATTTTCCTTGTATTTCTCAATTATCGATCAAACGAACCCTAAAAACGGTATCTTCGAAAGCGAACTTGCAACACTCCAATCCTCTTAGTATGTCACTACGTCTAATTATCGGGCATTATCGTTCGCGGCGTGCTCATTAAAGCGAATTAAAATTCCCAACTATTAATAAACAATATAATTTCTTAATGACTAATAGTAAACATTTAATGGTTAACTCAAAATACCCTTTCGATGTCAGAAATAAATATTTGAATTTTACCTCCTTTTTAGAACCAAGCGGTCTTACTGCGCATGCGCTTCACGGAAATGTACTGCGCGGGAAATTTGATCTACCGCTCTCAATACCCAACACCAAATTATGTCTACTATACAGGGAAATTGATCACGCAACATATATAAATATAACTACGTAATTGGATATTTAATCCATATTGCATATCTGCCTTGTATTTGAAGATACGTAAAAATGCTGTAAACAAAATTTTAAAAGTATTATAATATAAACATTACTTATAAGCAATCTGGAAAATTGTTTAAGCAAGCACTTGAGATTTCCTCCTATTCGGGTGTGTCACTCGAGGGAATAAAGTTTCTACATCGATTTCGTCATATCGAAGAACATTATCGTTTCCTTTTTCCGTGACCTTTGGTGCACTAATGCCACGCACTTTAAATCAATTCTCCCATACATGCTTCTTGAGACGTGACGCGCTCACGTACGCGTGCTCTCGCGTGGCTACTTTCCTGTAAAATACGATTCCTCTACAAGATTATCACCAGTCGAGACAGTTTTGAAAATGGAGTTTAAGAGAGAACTAATATCAATCGTTTTGCTCGGGGTCGCAGCTTCTTTTTGCGTAAAAAGTGCCAGTTCGTATAACATACCAGAGCCAACAATCGAAGCGCTATCGCCACGTGGTTTTCGAGTCTCCATCCCAGGTGAGTATCAGGTAAGAAGACTGAAACCCTAGTAGTACAATATATTTTTCTTATTTTTTCTACATATTTAACGAATATCGTACATTTTGTATATATTTAGCAGACATTTGAAATATTTACAAAACATTTACTTTAAAATATTATCTTTATATTATTTATATAATATTAGCTCCACGTGTCTTCGTATTATTTTACTTATAGGTCGACAGAATATTTCGTTTCATTTTAATATAAATATTTTTCAAATATTATCTGCCGAATACATTGTAAACGTTTGAAAAATGTTTAAAGTAAAAATCACACGTTTTGCTACCACGATGAAATAGTGGAACTAAAGTATTGCAATAATTCGTCGTGTTTTTGCTACAAAATGAAGTGTCCGATGATATTCGTGAAGTAAAAAATGGATTTCTATTATATGTTTATTAATTAACAATTGTAATTTTGATATATGAGATTTTCAACAGATATTGTAGATATCTTCAAATGAAATCTAGGAGACATCGTAAAAAATCTATCGCTTGAGATATTCAGCGAAGATTACAAAGAAAAATATTTAGAAATTATTCTGTGCTACTAGGGAATAGAATGGAATTAGACATTTTAATTCTAGTAAATTCCTGATTCGTTCTTTGCCTCTAATTTAGCTGTGACAGACTCATTGTCGCGCATTTAACTCTATTGTTAATGAATGATTAACTAATAATAATAAGTCCAACAAATTTACATCCTTAGATGAGCCGGGGATCCAATTATTCGGATTTCATAGTAACTTGAACAAAAGGATCCAAGAGAATGAAACTGGATCTATTTCCGGCATCGTCTACAGAGTGAAAAATGGCGAATGGACTTTGCGAGATTCGGGAACTAACATTCAAGACGATGACGTGTTGCATTACTGGATTTACGTGCAGGCAAACGGAAAACCTTATGTCAAGGCGAACCTGTCCTGGTCAAAAAATCGTAAGCCATTTTCTTCACGATATTGCGTCAATAGGTACAAAAATAAAAATATAATTCATATATTTTGCAGGTGCAACTGGCTCTACGGATAGGAATTGCATCCCAGGAACGACGACAGTAAAAAATGATAAGATATCCTGTAAACGGGAATTAATCTTTGAGGAAAATTTCAATTCTTTAAACGAATCCATTTGGAGGAGAGAAGTCAAGATCCCCCGAGACCCTGTGAGCTTGGAAACATCGTTAATTATTTCCACATCTGAAGTTTATTTCACGTCATTTCATGAATATCTTATTCCCTTAGTCCGAGAAATTAGAATTTCTATACGTCAACTAGATTTATTCCGTCTTCTGGGAATTATTTCCATTCCTAGCGTGTGTAATCTTATGATCTTGAAATATTTAAGGAAGATCAAATGAATTCTTCTTTTATTTAAGGACTATGAATTTTGCGTGTACCACATCCACGAGGAAACCGTAGCGATCCGGAATGGGATCTTTCAGATTATTCCGAGTATTTTGGAAGACTCTTATGGAGAAGGATCCACTTCGATCGGCAGCGTGCAACTTTCCGGGTGAGAGAATATGAGAAACAATAGTCAAAGTTACGCGAACTATATATTCCTTGATCGACAGATGCACCAGTAATATTCCGGATGAATGTTCGCGAAAAGCAACGTCATATAACATTTTGCCACCAGTTATCTCTGCGCGTCTCACGACGAAGAATCGTTTTAGCTTTCGTTATGGCAAAATCGAAATACGCGCAAAATTTCCCGAGGGTGACTGGCTTTATCCAGGTATTCTATATTACATTTGATATATTCAAGTACAGAGTGGCTACCACGTTAATATATTGGGTTGATGCATAAGTAATGGCGTTTTTTTTACACGTTACGTTACGTGTAAAAAGCGTAATTACTTATGCATCAACCCAATATATAAAATTACCTCCGAGATCGTACCATCGCTATAATCAAAGCACTGTTAAAGATATCAATTCTACATATAGTGTACATGTATTTAATTTCGCATACAATTGTACTTGGGATTTCAGTATACGAATTTCAGAGATCATATATACCAAATTCGAAATCTTTTGTACATTGATTTTTGAACACATCTGTGAGAATTCCTAAGCAATTATGTACAAATGTACATACACGAGTGTACGATTGTCATAAGACATGTATACAAAAACTCGGCTGCTTTTGTATACTGATTCTCGATCACATACTCCTACACAATTCTATACATTTTGAGAAAAGCGCGTTGTAGTACATTTATTAACACTTGTACCGATTTCTTTTCTCGTTGTACTATTTTGTTCAGGGCTTTGAATACTCTTGTACGAATTCTCACGCAGAAATAGTATCGAAATGCGGTATCTGAAAGTGTTCGAAATATTTTTTTTTCTTCCAGAGCTTTGGCTATTGCCGCGAAATTCTAGGCGTGATAACAGGTCCCCGAGTGTAAGAATTACTTTAGGATTTGCACGAGGTAACCAGCGCCTCGTAAAAAATGACGATTCGACCGAGGATTACGGCGGCAAACGTTTAGAATTTGGGATCAGAACGGCCTCGGAGGGTGAAATTCGCGAGGAAAAAGCCACAAAGATGAAGAGCACTGGCAAGTGGACGGGAAATTACCACGTGTACACGACGACGTGGTCTGCCGATGGATTTACATTCCACGTGGATGATCAAGAAGTCGGCCGGCTGAAGCCAGGATCCTCTGGCTGGCAGCAAAGCTTTGATTCGATCAGCGAAGCCAGCAGTTCCAATATGGCACCTTTCGACGAAGAGGTCAAATTAATACACGATTAATATCGGAAACTCTCATAGAAAGCAAATTGAATATCGAACATTCGAATAATCTCCATTATTTCAGGAACTCTTGCCTTTTACGCGTGTTCAAATCCTGTCGTTTAGTAAAATCTGTTTCATTCAAGATACTTCTTTAAAACGAATGATTTTCTCGCTCTACTCTTATTAACTATGTTAACTAATGGAAATTAATATTTTTAGTTTTATATCAGTCTCGGGGTCGGTGTCGGTGGAGTTAGGCAATTTCCTGAAAGAACAACCAGCGGACAATATGATAAGCCTTGGAGAAATGTTGGGGCTAAGGTAATTTGATTAACTTATAGTGCGTAGTGTTTAACAACGCAGATTGCTAGGAAGAACGACTTATTTCAATGATAGCTCGAAGGTTCCTAATGCATTTCATTTTTTTCTCAATTAAGTATTTTTGAATTTTGTTAGGATCTTTTTCTCAATGCAAATGATCAAATCCTGTATTAATGATTTCGTTCTCTCAATTCCAGGCGATGCTCCATTTTTGGCAGGCTAAGAATCAATGGTTCCCGAGCTGGAATGACGAATATGGGAAAAAAACCGCACTTGAAATCGATTATATCCGGATTTGGTCTTTATAATGTTCTGTAGTCCACTATAATCTTATTCTGTAAGATTTAGCGATAATAAAGCAATTGGTTACTTATAAAACTCACAAATATAACGAACTCCCTACGTGCAAATAAAGAAAAAAGATGTAAATAAATAGGAAGGCATGTATATCCCGTAGTTATAAAAACAACTTCTAAAGAATGTTGTCAAGTTCTTCCTTGAAAACCTTAACGAAGCAACGACCAACCGAGGTCAGCTATTTCATGCGACACATAAAGTATTTATCCGGCTTGAACAAAGACGTCACGAGGACACTACAGTTCTCATGGGTCGTTTTGCTCACCATAAAACCGTTAAGGTGTTACTCCATGAAAAGTGGTTGAAAATCATTACGATCTTTTGTCATGCCTTTAGAAAGAACAAGGAAAAGCTAAATACAATCTTTATAGGTAGAAATTTGTTGTACAAGTGTAAAAGAGCGTGTAAATATTTTTCCTTTTTCACTCAAAATGGCGGCTATGAAGTAGTTTTGTTCGAACGCCTTTCCAGGCAAACCTCGTTGCGAAGGCATCGATTAAGGAATACAGTTTTCAAAGAGGAAGAAAAAAACAAAAATTTCTCATTTCCATATAACATCTGTTACGCCTCGTGCGTAGGATATTTAAAAAATATTAATTCTTATGGAAATAAAACGTGATTCGAAGAAGTATTTCGATTTGTGTCAACAGATTTTGTATAAAAATACCTGCGGCAAATACAGTTTGAGAAATATCGCAACTATATCAGTCTAAACAATGTAAGAAGAAATATCATGTGAATGTTTGAAGAGAATCGGATAAAAATTGTAGAAACGCTGTCGATGCCACCAACGTTAAAAATATTATTTTGACAGTGACGCGTTTGAACGTTCTTTTTGTTTTTTCTTTGAATCACAAAGTACAAGAAAGATCTGTATTTGTCTTTAATCTAAACTCACTAAATGATTAGGATTTCCTATTTAAACCAATGGGAAATTATTTTTATACGTGAAACTATCGACTAAACTTATGAGAGAAAATCCGATTTTTCAAACTTCCACCGTCGTGTAACGTCTTAATGTTTAATGAAATGAAAAGTAACACCGAATGGATATTTGAATTTACTAAGGATGGCAAGTGAGTAATTGGAAGGAAGATTATTCGGCTTTGCGTGGATCGGCTCGCATATATTGGAACACCGTATATACGAAGGTAATAGAAGGATATAACCAGAAGTCATCCCAGGAGAAAATAAAGAAATCCCAGAGGCTGGTGCAAAAGACTCATATTTTGCTGTTCTTATTTTACGTAGAGGTTCACCTTGACTGACTCTCTTGCCCTTACCTGCCCAAATCGTAAGCCGGTAGCATTCTCCTTTGTAGAGAATTATACGAGAGAACGCCTTATAACAGTATTTGCCGACATAAAAGGCACTTTTTTCGAACGTTACCGCTTTCCTGCGCATATTGTCTAAATATCTTATTTATTACCGGCAACGGCGATTGAAAATCCGCTATTTAAAGACATTCGTATAGAGTTTAATCTTTGATCGGGAATGAAGAGGCGGCAGGTCACCATTTGCCGCAGGCTGAAACTCGGAAATTAATTAAATAGTATTTATCGCTTTGATATACGTGGAATTGCGCAAGCATAGAAAATAATAAAGATTACCAGAGTTTGATAATATTCGTGTTAAATGTTCAACTCTTTATTTTTTTTCATTTCCCGTCGAAATTCATTTTAAGAGCAACGAGAAGTTATTAATACTTACGATTATCACTTGACGCGTATCGATGTAATGATATATGCAAAGATGCTCTTACAAAATCATCGAAATCAGAAGACTTTTAATAATTATGGAAAACAGCTTTTTAGGGTCTTCTTGTTTCTTTCAAGGGTGAGGTGACGCTAAATAAAAGATGATGTGTTAATGACAATTTCGGAATTTTCTTAACATATTGAATGATGAATACTTAGCTTGTTATTAAATGTAATGAATATTTTTAGCGTTTGATCCATCACACCTCGACTTAAGGTTCTGCGATCCTTTCCTTTTTCTCAATTATATGTTTTCTACCCACACTCGACAGTCGTCCAGCAGTGCTCCGAGTATTCGGAATTATTCGCTCGGGCTCTCAAACATAAACCACGTGTTAGCCAATTATTTTCATTAACAATTATCAACGGTTTTTTTCGTATATTCGAGATGAGAAGAATTTCTCTCGCACTCGTTACCATCTTGTGTTTGTGTATCGTTGTCTACGCTAAGCCGCAGTATTTAAACCATCCTGGTAAACAATAGTAATTATTAAATATATTCTAAATAAAGGCTCAAAGCTACACTGTGTACTATTTTCATGAAATTATAGATTATGTGGTATTATATATTTGTCTATTACAATAACTACTCTTCAGACAAACTGAACAAGTTAGAAATAGAAAGACGAAAGGACTCAAAATAATACCAAAGTTGAATATAATTGTAGCTGTCAACATTGCTACGTAATGCTTTTAAAGCAGTTCTCATTAAACATTAAATTCATTACAGGATATTCAAATGTTTCAATTATATATTTTCTTGATTCAGTATTTTAAGAAATATTAAATGCAATGTCAATCATTGATATAATGTTATATCGTTTTTGCGCAGGAAATGAATACATTATTCTTGGCAGTTGCACAGCAACTGCCCAGTTGATTAGGAAGCATCGAAACAAGGAACCTTTGGGTGCAGATTTAATGACGACCGTGGATTATACCTCTGAAGAGTTTGCTTCTTCGACAACTGCAAATATAGAAATGCAAAAAAGTGATGTTCACGATATAAAAACAACGAGGATCCCTACAATGTATCCAAAACATCCTCCACTAAAGACATCGGATAATCACAAATATTATTTCCAGTCAGATGAAAGACCAAGTGGTAAAATACTAGGAAGGCAATCGTATACCAAATCTGGTACCGATACACCCCTTAGAACTGTAAATGTAGAAGCAATTTACAAAGACAGACCATTGCTCTTCAAGAAAAGGGAACCTCTTCCTGAACTTCGCAGAGATGTTTTGTTTGGAAGGAAAGAGACAAGTGCTTTCATCGTCATCAAATCTTCAGAGTAACTAACTACTAATGAATCGTTCAATTCTAAAAGTGTGCCTGAAATGCAAAATTTTGTATATCATTACCTATAAAAAATGTACTATGTGGTGTTATATGAAAAGTTTTTGTTATTGATTCTCATCGCCATTTCACAGGGCGTTCTTCAATCCAAACTCAATATTAATCATTGAACAACGAACCATAATGAACATCAAATTAAAAAAGTAGATAATATTGAACATATAGATTACAATCAATACTCTTGTCTATATTTATATTACAAGCGTAATAATGTGAAAGTACTTATAATATAATAATAAAATAATTATACTATTCCTATAATTCGCTAGGAGAACTTCTGATGGATTCTGGCAGCCTGTGTAATTCGACCTACAAAAAAGTAATTGTTCATTTTCATTCTATAAATTATTATGGCCTTGTAATGTCGTATACAACCTTTGTAACCTTCATCGCTACACCTTCAGGGAGATTTCTTTGTATATACTCCAAGAACGTATCAGCGGTAGATCCAGTTAGTCTCAGGAAATCCATGTATCGGAAGTAAGTTCTTGTTTCATACTGCACACGATGCTTTTTGTAAATGTGTATAGATTTTAATACCGTTATACGTTCATGAGTCGGTTTTGGGAGAGTAACGCTATTAAAAACAAAATTACCCAGTTACCAAAATTGCATGTCGTTTCAAATTAATTATAATAGAACTCTTACTTTCTCCCTACTGTGATACCCAAGTGACTAGCGGCTGTGACTGAAAATTGTCCATAACTTTTTAAAACAGCAGGATCGTTACCACGTACCTCCACCTCTATTCTCTTATACAGCTTATCTAAAGGAGCCTAAAATATAGTCATGCATTTTAACATACTCTAATAATGCCCATATTTCATTTCAATTTATAAACATAGTAACATAAACCACAAAATATTAGTATACAACAAAAACATCAAGTATTTCATTCTTATCAGCCGTACCTCTTTAGGTGTTGCTTCTTGAGAATCTTGACTCAAGCTAAAGTTACATGTTTGCAATTGAGTTACCCTAAAATTTGTAAATAGTCGAGGAAGAACACCTTGTAATCCGAAAGCACCCTGCAATAATAGTTATGATATTAATAGATCATGGTAAACGGTAATCACTGATATAATGCTAGGTAACCTTAAATTCTATCGAAATTAAAAATGTATTATTTCAACTTACTCTGACACAAAACATCTTCAATTATTTATCTATATATATTTAACGTGGAAATTAATAATTTACTTTTTATTTATGAAAAATAAAACGAAATAAAGCACATGTGAACAGTTTTAAATTACAGAACAGTACAGAATTTCTTATCTTCTCTTTTCGAGAGATTCTATTGCTGTTTTCGGGTTTACTCTTCTATTACCATCGGTCAGTCGTAGATGATGGAAACGAAGTTCGTACTAAACTACCAGCAGATGTCAGCATATCTCGGTTAATTGAAAAAGAAAAATATTTACATGATAAACAGAAATCAATGTTCTTGCAATGTAATAAAAAGCTTTACACTCCGATGTTAATTCAAAACGTATGTAAGTATATATTTGGCGCGAAACTCTACCGAGTTTCTTGATGACAGAGCCAAAGCGAAAATTAAATCTTCTCTGAATGCGTATCAGAGATGAGTTGGGAGATTGCTCACGGGCAGGATCGTGTGATCGCATCCTGTGCTGTCCTCTGGTTTCGTACGTTAGCTTTCACCGTTTTTTGCCCCCAAGAGCGGCGCAACGAATTTCTGAGAGGAGCTCGTGCACTCGCGATGGCGGTACATACCAGTCGCCGTTGACGGCTTACGTACTCGTGATGGTAATACCATTCGGAAGTTGATGGTGGTGGTTTACCTACGCTTACCGACACTGGTCGTTTTTGATGGTAAGGGAAGAACACTCGTGAAGCTCCATTTGACATTATCTACTTATCTACTACTATTACGTACATTGTTGCCTCGAAGTCGACGTCATGCGGAGCTTCGGGGCACGCGTCGGTGTCGCCTACGGAGCCCTCATGCAGCGAATCTGTGTGAGTGCGATCACTCCTAGAAACTTAGCGCGTCCCAACCAGCCAAGCGCCAAGCTACGGGTCGGCACTGTCCGGCACTCTGCGGCAACTCTCCGGAACTCTCCGGCCCTCTCCGGCACTCTGCGGCAACTCTCCGACACTCTCCGGGACTCTCCGGCACTCTGCGGCAACTCTCCGAAACTCTCCGGCACTCTGCGGCAACTCTCCGACACTCTCCGACACTCTCCGGCAACTCTCCGACACTCTCCGGCACTCTCCGGCCCTCTCCGGCACTCTCCGGCACTATCCGGCCCTCTCCGGCCCTCTCCGGCACTCTCCGGCACTCTCCGGTACTATCCGGCCCTCTCCGGTCCTCTCCGGCACTCTGCGGCAACTCTCCGACACTCTCCGGCACTCTGCGGCAACTTTCCGGCAGTCTTCGGCCCTCTCCGGTCCTCTCTGGCATTCTACGGCAACTCTCCGCCGGCCCTTTCCGGCACTCTGCGGCAACTCTCCGACACTCTCCGTCACTCTGCGGCAACTCTCCGGCACTCTGCGGCCCTCTCCGGCACTCTGCGGCAACTCTCCGACACTCTCCGGCACTCTGCGGCACTTTCCCGCACTCTCCGGCACTCTCTGGCACTCTCCGGCACTCTACTGCACTTAACAACGCTCAACGGCACTGTACGGCCTGCGATAAGGCTCGGAAACACTTGAAATACGCACGAAAACGCTCGAAAACGTTCAAGAACACCTGAAAAACGATCGATAACGCTCGAAAACACTCGAAAATGGTTGAAAAACTGTCGAAAACCTTCAAAAACGGTCGAAAAACGCTCGATAACGCTTGAACACGCTCGAAACCACTCTGAAAATGATCGGGAAACGCTCGATAACGCTCGATAACGCTCCAAAACACTCGAAAACGGTTGAAGAACGCTCGGTAACGCTCAAAAACGGTCTAAAAACTCTCGATAACGCTAGTAGGGAAATGTAAAAATCATACGCGAAATGACTCGGCTCATATCCGCAGTTAGGTAAGCCTCGGGAGGATTTTTCGCAGAATTCGACTCTCACGCATACTCGTTGATGTAGCGCCGAACGCACATATATTCAACATCTCGGCCTCGGCACAGCTACGGAGCTTGGCGCTTGGCTGGTTGGGACGCGCGAAGATTTCTCGGAGCGATCGCACTCATGCAGATTCGCTGAATGAGAATTCCGTACGCGACACCGACGCGTGCCCCAAAGCTCCGCATCACGTCGACTTCGAGGCAACAATGTACTTAATAGTAATAGATAAGTAGATGAAGTCAAATGGAGCGTTACGAATGTTCTTCCTTTACCCTCAAAAGCGAGCAGTGTTGGTAAGCGTAGGTAAGTCATCACCGTCAACTGCCGCATGGTATTACCATCACGAGTACGTGAGCCACCAATGGTAACTGGCAGATGATACCGCCACCGCGAGTGCGCGAGCTCCTTCCAGAAATTCGTTGCGCCGCCCTTGGGGGCAAAAAACGGTGAAAGCTAACGTACGAAACCAGAGGGCAGCACAGGATGCGATCGCATGGCCCTGCCCGTGAGCAATCTCCCAACTCATCTCTGATTCATTTCAATACCAAATGAAACGCGTATGTGATATTTATCATTTATCAAGATTTTCAGGAAAGGAGAAAAACATGGAATATTTTATTGTTGCAGATTATTTATTACAAATTACCTTATGTAGTCGCATGTCAAGTGATCATACTACCATAAAACAGGAACATAAGATATTACGTTAATTGTAATACGTAATACAATAACTCATATGTCGTTTTTAAACGAAACTAGATTTACTTTCCATTGTAAGGGAAATTTGCATATCAGATTGAATATGTATTGAAATTTAACCACTCAATTTTCATTTTTATCGATGATTTAATTCCAGTATAATTAAGCATCAGATACTGCAACAAAAAACTACGTCTCTCATCTTATAATGTTTCAAAAACATTCCGATAACGAAACAACTAATGACGAACATTTCTTGGAATTATTAAAACATGGAATCGGTATCAATTAATCAAACGTAAATTCCCGACTGATAAAAGTATTGGTTGAAGAAATAGTACACATGACTGGTGATGTAGCTCTAAAACTTAGTTACTGCTGTAAGTTAAAAAACACTAAAGTTAGGTCAGAACTTTAGATTTTGATCGTCCTTTTATAATCCTGTACGATTAAGTGATTTAAAAATGACAACAGAACTTATTCCACAGAGTAACATCTAATTGGGTTTACGTAAGAATCTTACGTTGCATTATCATTTCGGCAATAAACTATTCTAACGTAATCAGTAATAGGGAAACATGTCTTGTTTAGTGATATCGTGATCCTGGGTATGCGAATCAGCGCCTGTCCTTAAAAAGACTTATATTGGAAAATGGTTGCTGTTGACCAGAGTAAAGATTTTGGGACTGCCAGCTTTGAGTAAGAGAAGTTGATCCCTGCCAATTTCCAGATTGAGCACTTTTCTTGGCAGCGTCGTTGAGTGGAGCCCAACGATGTTCCTGGTTGGAGCTTTGAGGTCCTTCAAATTGCCATGGTGGTTTGTTTGCCGAAGGAGGTGCTGCCCTGGGTCCCTTGTTGAACCAACCATCGTTAGGTTTCGACCACGATTCGGTCATCTCCTTTTCTCTGTATTAAATGCAGAATATCAGTGAATAGAATAAGTCAAATACCTTTTACTTTACGATTATGAGAAATAAATGGACCGAATCCTCATCCCAATTTTTACTCCTTATACGTGAATTTCTACACGCAGCTTCTAAAAGTGATTAAATGCGAAGTATGGACATTGATGGGTTTTCAAGGGAAAACAAACAAATTTGAAAAGCTGGGGTGTGATTATAAAAAATGATGTATTCTATGATGAAGTGCACCCTACCCGATGTTTATGAAGTCAATGTTCCATACCCTGGTCTAGACCACGTAGGGTTGTTGCTGCTGGGAGCGTCAAACTTGTTCCAACGTTCCTTGGGAGTTGAAGTATTAACGTCATCGCCCCAAGGATCTCTGGCATCCTCGGGGAGCTCGTTCCATTCGTCTTTATCCGACTGCTTCCAGGATTCGGTGGTTCCCGGTGCTGGAGGTTCCCAACGAGGCTCGTTTCTTAAGCTGGGCTTAGGGAAGGCCTCTTTGGGACGGGTGTTCCAGGTGTCCCCTCCTGGTCCGCTCGAATTTCCAGTGGACCATCGATTCATCGTCGACTTTTTAGTCCAGACATCCCCAGATCCGCTGGTCCACATTCCCTCGTTACCAGATTCTTTGCCATCTCTGAAGGACTCGCTTGGGCCAGGACGTTCCCAAGTTGGTCCCGGTCTTTCATCCGACCAGTGCTTCTCCGGCATACGTTCGGGCATACGTTCGGGTATGCGTTCGGGCATCCTTTCAGGCATACGTTCAGGTATACGTTCAGGCATACGTTCAGACATGCGTTCGGACATACGTTCGAGCATACGGTCGGGCATACGTTCGGGCATACGGTCGGGCATACGTTCGGGCATACGTTCGGGCATACGGTCGGGCATACGTTCGGGCATACGTTCGGGCATACGGTCGAGCATGCGGTCGGGCATACGGTCGGGCATACGTTCAGGCATACGTTCGGGCATACGTTCGGACATACGATCAGGCATGTGATCAGACATGCGATCAACAGGTCGTGATTGCCATCCACTTTGCTCTACAGCTCCACGACTAGGTATATCCCATTCGTCCGCCATTCGTCTTATGGGGGACATTTGACGCCTAGGCGGTGACATTTGTCGTCTAAGGGGCGACATTTGGCGCCTAGGGGGAGACATTTGACGCCTAGGCGAAAGTATTAACCCTGGCGGAGTCAAAATTCGTCTAGGTGGTGACATATGTCGACCAGAAGGTGAAAGAGGCCTTCTGTATTGCGCAGGTAGGTCGCCGTGCATGCCTGGTGACATGGGTCGTCTAAGAGGTGACGCCTGCCTCCTAGGTGGAGACATACCACGTCGCATCGGGGACATAGGCCGACCCATCGGTGACATTTGACGTCTAGGTGGAGACATGTGATGTCGGAGCGGAGACATCTGACGTCCAGGTGGAGACATATGATGCCGCGGTGGAGACATACGATGCTGCAGAGGAGAAACGTGTCGACGAAGAGTCGGCGACATCGGTCGGCGAAGCGGGGATACAGGACGATGCATAGGTGACATTTGGCGTCTTGGTGGTGATAGTCCATATGGAGATAATTCGCGTCTTGGGGAATAATGTCTTCTAGGAGGAGAACAAGGTCTTCTAGGCGGTGAAAGCAGCGTCCGCTTGGGAGAGATTCTTCTCACCGGCGATACTCGACGCCTAGGAGGTGAAAATGCGGTTTTCTTGAATGGCGGCGGAGAGTTCCAATTTTCGTCTTCGGCTTGAGCCTTGGCTTGTATCTGCGCCAGGGCCAGAGCACGAGCCTTCAGTTTCTTTCTTCTTTGCTTTGACATTCTGGGTTGCTGATCGGCTGGACCCGCCAAGAAAGGTCGACCTGCGGGTTCATCGCCCGACAGAGGCACTTTGAGATTAGGCTCATGAGGAGCGATATTATGATACTTCCGCTGAATGTTTTGAGGAGGCTCAAATACTCTATAGGCGGAAGCAACCAACTCTTCTTCTGGGTCTGGTCCCTGGACAAAACGCTCATTTGGACGACTGTCTTTGTCCAACGGTTCGATCCGGTCCCACACCGATCGTGGGAGTTGATTTTGTATTTTATTCGTTAACTCCAGAGCCTTGTTCAACATCTCTTTTGCCGTTGCCACTTCAGCGTTTGGCCCACTCAATTTTTGTTTGGTTAGGTCAAGAAGCTTTTGTTGTTCCTTGACCAGATCCATTTCTATGCGATTGTTGCCTGATAGTCTCGATCTAAGGTCGTTCTTATCCGCGCGTGGTCCTACGTTTTCTTCCCATGGACGTTTGCGTTTCTGAGGGCTTTCTTTGATATTTAGGTTTCTATTGATACCTGCAATACATAAGTACATTATCAGATGTCCCGATGATCGAATGCGTAAAGTAATTCCTTATGTTTCACAATGCCTTCTGAATCTCTCGTTGGGATGTTTCGTATGCGTAATATCCTGCTTGATCAGGTCTATGCACGGTTTTTGTGAAATATTTAAAGTAGTATTTCTCACCTATACCACCTTTTTTATTCTGATCATTAATGTTGGCATTTTGCATGCTAGCTTTTGTGATAGGTAACGTTCCTGGCGCCCAAGGTTGTGTGAGCTTATGCATCAGGCGACGTTCCATTAAGATAACCACTTCAAAATGCGGTCCTGTAGGTAACGTGTCAACCACGCAGGCCCGAATTGGCATAAACGGATTGCCAATACCATCGGCTGCTGGGCGAGTTAATTCCAATATTGCCCGGACAGACTGTTTGGTTAATGTAGTAACCATTACAATTCGACGTAGAGAGTTAATTTTTCGAAGAGCTATCATCACTTCGATCTCTGTTAAAAGAAATCGCAAATGTTAATTTTAGATTATTCATCCTGATAATATACATCCCAGTTGGAATAATCTCTTTTAAGTGTAACGTAAAACTATTATAATATACCTCGACCGATACTAGTGTTGGCGTTAATGATAGCTGCGGCTTTACAGTTCATTAATACTTTGGCAATTGTTGCCATTACTTCAGATGGTTGGCCCATAACGAATGAAGCATTCTTTATGTTATTTAATTCACTAGTCATTTCGGCCTCTTCAATTTCAGATGGCGAATCGAGTCCAATGATTTGGTGGCATTTCTACAACCGAACGTAAAAAGATGTTAATAACATTATACCGTTTTCTACTCATAACGGATAAAATAATGTGCAGTATTCTAATATCGATGATCCCTTACAGATGCCATCATCAATCCAATGAGACCAATGCCACATCCAATTTCGACGACTGTGGTCTTCAGGGTTGGTGCTAGAAGATCGGCAACTGCTTTGCCTAAGCTTTCTGCTCCTGTTGCATTTGACCAAAAGTTCGTTTTTGGCGCTAATTGAACCTTTATTCCTCCCACTGTTTCTTCTAAAGCTTCGGACCCAACCAAAAATGTCGTGGTACTGTTTGCTGTGTTTTCACCTCTGAAATGCATCAATTTATAAGGTCTTTGTACTGGAAAAAGAAAAGAAATATATTTTTTAAGGCCATACACTCACTTGACAATGGATTTGCAGTACAGTGATTTAACTTTGCAATCTTTTCCCCGTCCCGTCTCGAAGACCTGCTTTAAGCGATCCATGGTGTTACGGCTGATGTTTCGACCAGTAACGAACAGCATCAATTCGTCGTTTCTATTGGAACGAACCAAAAGCCACAACCATTGTTGCTTGGCCTCACCAGTAGTTTCCTTATCTTCGACGGGAGCATTTTCATTCATCGGCGCACTGTTTTCAGATTGCTCTGCATTCTCGGGTTGTTCAGTACTTTCTAACTGATCCAGGGACTGAAGAAATTCCTCAAATACCTGAGAAGAATGACACGTAAAACTAAACTTCAGAAATGGCTATGAAAATGAACATTACTTTTCAACTCTGATGTTAATCATCTGATATCTAATAAATTAGATAATAATAATATCAAACGGGCCATGTAGTTCAACGTGTTCGACACATTGCCTTAATAAATAATGTCCGCCTGATACGTGTCAATTGTACTAATATGATTTACATAATTTATAAGTACGCTTGACCGCAAGAACAAAGTAAATAAATATATAATATAAGCAATACATTTAAAGTGAATCATAAATATTGCAGAATACATTATAAAAATGACATCGATTTTATCTTTAAAAAGAAACAGCAAACTAAATAAAAAAAAAATAAATAACTACCATAACGCTTTTTATACACATTGACTATTCTTTATAACATTCTAGTGCCTCGTTTACTTTGTGTACCGCATCGAGTTTATAAATCTATAGACTTACTCATAATAAAACTCATTCTAAATTGTGAGTTTATAAGTGTACTTATGAGTATCGAATAATGCATGTATTTCGATGATACATTTCAATGATAATCATTGCCTGAATACCGATTGAGATGTTGAGAATCTAATGCGTCGGGTGTCAAACAGCAATTAATCTATTTGACATTCTTAACGGCATTATAAAGTGAATTTTTTTGGCACATCCGATTGCAATATGCTTATCTCAGCATAGAACAATTAGGGATGCATTATGACAATGTTATGTTTAACTGAGAGATTAATTGTATATTATAACATAAATTTTGTTCATATTGCTTTAATACAGCATTTTCTGGTGTTATATTTCTTGCGAATTTCTATGTACAAGGGATGAGCGGGACAACTGAATTTCGAAATAATAATTCCGAATCTCTGACTTTTGCGTAAAAGTCGATGCGATGTCAGAGTGGATGTATAATTTCCCAAGATCTGATAATTTTAAGAGCTCGTTGATTGCTTACGAATAGGGAGCGTTTCCTCCCAAAAATTCGTCATGCAAAAATAAGAGTGTTTACTCACATATCAGCATCTGGGCATCGAGGTACTTATTTCGTTCACCAAAAATTATTTCCTTTCTACGTACATTTATGGGAATTAATCATTACTTACTCCATGAGTAAGCTGATATTCAAAGAAAAATCAAACAATTATTAGATATCCAGAATTGTGCAGGATTTCCATCAATTGTTTTGCCATTGTACCATTTTTAAGATTTTTCCTATACGCAGAAGATAACATTGTTAGCATTGATTATGCGAAACATGTTCTACCTTCCTTACGGAGTACAACGGTGAACACAACTGTGTTGTATTATAATTTGGGACAATTTAGACCATTTAAGTGCTCCCATGGATCCCAAAGTACAACTTTCACTGCTACGCTGAGATCAATCGAGGTTCATTGAGGCAATCAGCTAGGCAGTGAAAAGTGATAACATAACACTTCAGCATAGTTCTCTTTTAGTCTGTCACAGAAATATTTCCCAAGTTTATACTGCAGTAATGTAAACACATTTTTGCAGTGGCTGGTATTAAACTGCTTCAACAGTTTATTTTTGTTGTCAATTTTAGGTTAGGGTTAAGATTCAATAACGGTTATCTTTAACCATGCGGCTTCGTTCAATATCCAAGAGATATTTTCAACGATGTCCGCATTAATTAGTTGTTTAGATATCCGTTGGAAAACCGTACACTACACGGATTATTTCAATCGTATAATGCACGGTAAATAATTTTAATAACTGTAATTTATTATGCTTCTCGTTCGACGTGGATCTGCACTTGTTCTTTTATGTTCACCTGACCATTAATCCATTCAACCATCCGTTACAAAGGCAGTATCGTGCCTTTGTCACGCGGTGTATAGTTAAGTCAGGTATTATCAGCATCATTGGTCTCCGATGTCTGGTCGAATTCCATTGGAATTCACATTGGCACTTTTCTGAATTTCATGTTCTATTCCACAGCAAATGTGGTATTTATTTCAAGAATCCATAACATGGATGACTAAATTAAATCCACAAATGCAGTAGATTTACATGAATCATACAGTCATATTATTACTTCTCTCTTATTGTGCGGATAGTTTGGTAAATTCATTACATCCCGTTTATAACGGATAATTATCTTCGGTCATTTGGTAGTTCCTAGTTGGACACTTAGCTCAACAAGGAACGAAAATCCAAATTTTCTTTGGTGACTCTGCCAGACTGTACCGACATCATTGTGTAAACTATGTCGACAACAGGTGGCTTTGTACACTTGACCCATCGAACTCTACGCACTCATCTCTGATCGCATCAATTCATTTGTCCCACTATCCCTTATTAGAAATGCAGATGGGACGTGTGTGCGAAAGGTGTGCTTTCAGGAAATTGTATTTATGAATCAGAAATGAGCGTGTACCTTAACAGCGCGCAATACAAAAGGCGGAAATTCGAAGGCATTATCGGTACTAGAATTCCACAGACCAGTCGGACCCAGCCGCCAGACTGTTTGTCCACTGTCCTCCTTGTCCGCCTTTGATGGGTCCTGTACAGGCTTTCTGCTGCCTAAACATGTCATGTTAGAGATTCATCATCATGTTGCTTACAGGATTGCATACGTTTCATGCTACGCAGCTAAAATTTCGCGATCACGGTTACAAAGATATTACTACTCTCGATTTCTTTACTGCATAACTATCATTAGTCTTGAAATAAATATGTCAACGTTTTGTTGTTTCCACCTAGAACACATTAAAATCTATGTTAAAAATATTCGGGAAATTTAGGAGTTGATTGGCCATTTGAACAATGCGAACTGAAGTTCACTGAGAATGTTTCGGAAGCATGTGATACAATCATGTATCGAAGGCATGACTATTGTTCCGATACCTCAAAGACAGTAGCTGTAAAAGTTTATCGATATCTGCAAGGGTTGCATCAGATCTGAAGAAGATATTTAAGTTTTTACAGGAAAAGTTTGGTAATGCTGTCTCGATACAAAGACGAGCATTGTAGGTGCATAACAAAATAAATTAATAAATAACGCAAAACAATGCTTTTTCTTATATAGCAAACCTCATGATATGCAGAGATTCGCTAATGCCCTGCAATGTTTATAATGCAGATTATAAGAATTTATATGGTTATCGACATTTCACTTTGTGGTCATTGTTTTAATAAAAATAAAGTCATTTAGAGTTAGATTTATTAGGAATGTAATCAGATGCTGAGAAGAAAGTAGCATAAATTCAAACTATTTTTATTTTCATTTGAAGATAGGATTTAATGATTTATAGAATATGATAATGATGGTATTTAATTGCTTTTATTATTTTATAATGCTATTAATTATTTAGTATATAATGGGTTAAACTTAAATTAATTTATTGCATTACTGATTTGCAGTTTTTACTTCTCATTTTCCACATTTTTATAGACCTGGAACAAATATTTACGATTGTTACGCAATTAAGGAATTACGTAGTTTAATAATGGTTTAAAAGTTTAAAACAGTCATACACTATAAGCAAAAGTGATTTGACTGTTTTCTAGCAAAAAAGTTTTGCTGGTTTGATACTTACTTCATCCTTAATTAACGTCGTCAAATTATAAACCATAAAGACTACTTTTCGCATGGTCCATAGAACGTCAATTAAGGGTTAAGCAAGACTTTTGTTTTTAGGTTATGCTGACATGAACTAGTCAACCATGTAAGAGAAAGTATATAAATTCTTTCAAAAGTACTTATAAATTTATATACTTTCGAAAGTATTTACAAATTTTATGATTATGTTTACATTGTCATTCCTTAATGATGGCAACTCTATGGATAATTTTATCCATATTCATAGCATTTCATCCAGGAATAACATAACGCACTCTGATGTTTAATACATAATTTTAAGTTCAATGAATAATTTTTCTATATTATCACAACCAAGGTTCCTTTGATTTTTTCCACATTATTCACAGTGAAACTGACATCCTTAGAGTTTTATATCACTTATGATTGCAAAAATATTGCTCACATAAGCATGTAATATAATTTAAGTCCATTTCTACTGTGTTTCATTAATTATCAGAAGAGTGTACCCATTGTATCACAAAATTCTTTAATCACGTCCCCACCTGCTTATTTTTTGGTGTCAAAGAAACACGATTTAAATGTCAAAACTGGAAAGGCTTCACAAATATAGTTATAGAAAGAGCAAAATTAAACCTGAACATTATGCAAGTTCTGAAAACATGCATTATATATTATGTGGTCTACATATATAATAATGAATAAGGAATTCCACATTACTTACATATGAATTTCCAACGATTAGTGTGTGGTTTATCCAATGGGCAGCGCCGGGCTGCTTCTAACTTGCAGACAGGGGTTCCGCCTAAAGCTTCATTTCGTTTAAGCCAATTTTTATAACAAGGATAAGAAAACTCCAATACACGAGCAAGTTTAGATAATCGTTCTTTGACTGTAGCTTCTTTACCTGCAACCTGTATTCAAATAATTTAAGAAGTTATATCTGTATATAATCTTTCATGCATACAACAAATATTTTTGACAATTTGAATCAAAACTATTCCAATAAACAACATAAATAAAATCAGTGCAATCTTAACTAACCTTTTCTTCATACCACTCAGGTACTTTCTCAGCAGGCTTATTTGCATTTTCAGTTGAGTTATTTCCTATTTCTCCTTCATTTCTATCTCTATTAGATTCTCCTCCAGTATTCTTTTTGTTTTTGTCATCATCTCCATCCTCGCTATTTTCCTCTTGAAGTCCAAAACTTGCAGGGTCAAGCACAATGTTCTCGATCTCATCCAAATGACTCATGACATCTTCATCGTTCATTTCTTTTTGACATTCTCCTAATTGGTCCAACGATACATCCGCAGTAAAATCAATTTCATTAGTGACATTTTTATTGCTAATATTCTCATTATCAGTAGTCTTATTTTGTGCATTTTCATCTTCAATATATATCTGCTGTTCAGTTTGATCATTATCATTATGTTTTTCTTCTGTAATCGCATTATCAATATTGTCACCAATGATCACCACATCATCCATATTTTCATCAGGTTTGTCATTTATGAATTTTATTTCCTCGACTTCAACTTCCATCTGCTCATCCTTTGGTTGAACATCTTGAATCTCTTTAGTTTCTTCATTTGTTGCAGGTATATCGACTTCTTCGGTACTAGGTTCCTCAGGTACCGTTACCTCCATATTTTTATCCTCAACAGCAATGGCTTCTTGAGCTTGAGCTTCTTGAACTTCTTGAATTCGTTCAACTTCTGGAACTTCTTGAATTTGTTCAACTTCTTTAACTTCTTGAATTTGTTCAGCTTCTTCAACTTCTTGAATTTGTTCAACTTCTTTAACTTCTTGAACCTCTTGAGCTTGTTGAGGAGATTCTTTATTTTCTTTAACACTGGATTGACTCGTGTTCTTATCTACCTGTGACTCTTCATCTTCCATACATTCGTCTACCACTTCAAAATCACATTCGTCAAGCGTCAAAGTATCAGGATCTTCCGCTACAAGTGACATAAAAAATAACATATCTAATCAGGGTAAATATAAAAAATCTCACAATGCCTTAACTATAAACATTACATTTATTTCTAAAATACGTATTAAGAATTTTATCTGTATGTATAATCTTTATATCTATCGAGCATACTAATAAGTGCTTCAACAAAGAGCTGTCGAGACCGATGTAGTACTTAACACTATCTATATCAAACGGCTAGAAATGATCTTTACTTAGAATATTCATCAAACTTTAAATCGCATATAATTTGACAAATTCTCAAGATCGACCATAAATTTAAATCAATTACATAAAACTGTCAGCCCTCGTCGTGGCTAATTATACCTAATACGACTTCGTATCCTAGGAAACATTTGTGTATCAGATATCATACGACAGACTCACGAATAAAAATCTAAGAACAAAATATGTACCGCGTCACCGATACGGGTAAATGCAATAGGGCAATTTAAACATTGTTCGAAAAGAACTGCTGATCAATTATGAGGAAATTGTACTCGAAGATCTTTAGTAATTTAAAATATGCCAGCCTTACCCATTCTTGAAGGTTTTGAAGGGAATTATCTCCCTGACTTCCGAAAAAGATTCGTCGTCAGTTGTCTCGCCGCGAAAAATGGCGCTTGTAAAAGCACCTGCTCCGCGCTCTCAGCCGACTCTCTGCCTCAAGTTATTCTTATTTTATTGTCGACCGTTCACGTAACTGTCTCAATATGAAAATATTCGTTAATTATTCGATTAGATGTGAGCAAATATCCGGCTACGTACATACACTCGCCAACCCCGATTTTCAATTTGCTCCCAAGGAGGGTCGCGCTGCTCGCCAAGGGTATTCGTAATACTTGGTTATACTTGGTAATACTGCTTCGGCTTCAGGAATGTCGTGTCGCATTGGTCGACTAGTTACGTCGTTAACGCGTTCGTTTTGTTTTTCAATAGTCAACCAGTCAGCCGGACAGTAAACACAGTGGAATAATGTGATTGGTCCGTCGAAACTAGTTTCATTGGGAAAACCAATTGCTTTTAAACGGACCGATAAATTGAAGGACCGTTTATGACTCCTATCTGCTCATCACTGTTAACACGCATGTGGCCAAACGCGCTATATAAACGAACTAAGTGCTGTTCTCTGACGGAATATTTCCAAACTTTGTACCTTTTCTGTTATACTAGAAGTGCACATACTTTCTACATTTTGGGGGGCGCAGTGATAGAGGATGATCTGGAAGCGGGAAATTATGAACTTCATGTCTTTTTTACGGAACCCGATGCGTTGTTTTAAACATGCCACGTAGAAGTGCAAAATCGATATAGCGGTCTCTGACATGTATTACTTTTATTACACAATACGAAACCGATCCGCATGTAAGGAATAATAACACAGAGGTCTTAAGACCGTAAATGATTTAATACATACAGTTTTTAACAAACAATATTTCCATTATTTATGATACTTTTCGTTATATCGAATACTTATTCCTTTTTCTTATTAATATTGACGGAAATGTTTGATTGCAAATCTTATCAAATGAAATCTGCAAACAGTCTCTATCTCTTTCCTTTTCTCTATCGCGGCACATAATTTGTATTAAACATCTATAAGAAATTCCTATAGGGAAACAAAAATTCGTAAAGAACTAGGGCGCGTAGTTTTTCTTGCATTTCCTTACTGAAAATAGATATAATTAAAATAGAAGGCGTAACAAAAGTTAACTTAGATTTCACTCGGAGATCTTTTCTTTGCATGGTGGAAATGGAATGAATAATGCTCAATAATGCAATGAACCAGTAACTTTATTAATTGAATCAAATTTTTAAAGTGAAACTTCTGTATTTTTTCTATGCTCGTACATTCAATACATATAAATCTATAGAGAGAAAACGTATTAGAAAAAAAGATATTCATGTGTCGACTAAATCTTTATTTACTCCTGTCAAGAAATTGAGATCAAATGAAATTAAAGCAAATGAATATTTTCAAATAACCGACTACAAACGATATTAATAATTTTTTTATATGCGAGTCCTAGGCTGCTCGAGTTGAATCGGACGGTCCCTTAAAAAAATGTGATATAATTTCCATTAATATTTTCAATACCGGAGACCAATTTTATTCATAAAACTCATTCCGAAAAAGTCATTTCACTTGATATTAACTCATAGGATCGTAGCCCTAATGATTTCTACAAAATCAATTTTACTGATGCTTCTCTGGCAAGAAATATTAACATCGCGACATATAATGAATTTCGTCTAGACAGTAAATTTTTCGCTCGGGTTGCGAGCATTCAAAACAAAAGAAAGAAAGAGGTGGACTTTAGGAGGTCCTTTTCGTAGGATGGCGGGAATGGCAATCAATGGGGCGGCAGGCCGACAAAGTCCACCGGGCGGGCTTGAGAGGGCGGAAAAGCGCGCTGGCGCAGACGCGGCCTTTATAGATTTTCCTGGCCGGTAGTAACGCGGGGAGAGGTCAGGATCGCGTCGAGGGAAAGAGGAAAAGAGTCGGGCTTGGCCGTCGGATCCTTCCGACGTCGAGGACGTCCACGAGGCGTCCGATCCGCGGCCTTCGACCGCAAGGATGTCCGTCCACTTCCCGCCCGCAACGGCCAGGACGTCGTGAACTCCGCCGCCCGGGATTCCCGCCCACCTTACGGAACTCCTCCAGGATATCCCCGATATCCTGGAACCACTGGTTTGTTTCGTGCATGGTGAGTTTCAAGTTTTTTCCTTCCTCCCTCTCGTTGAGATTTCAGTCGCGGCCGTCGACGTGGCAGCACGTGTCAAAAAAGCCGAGCCAACTGTCAAAGGTAATCATAGCGAATGTCGGAAGTCCTGACAGAGGGCTGCCAATATTTTATCGATACCGTTTGGCCTACGAGTGATGGAGTCCCGAGCGAACCCTTTTTCGATCCAGGGGCGACCATACTTCGAGGGAGGGTGGATTTAAAAAATGTAACAGTGCTCGGATAGTACGTCACTATGGATACAAATTTAGTTATTTTGTCGGTGGGATATTCTTTTGATATATTCTCTTATCAACTCGTGATGTACGCATTGATAGGGTCCGTTCTGGTTAAGTCGCGCTCTGGTGTAATGTATTCTTTCTGCGGGGAATATTGAAAAGGCTATTGGAGGTTTACAGTCCAACTTGACTAACCTCGGATCGTTTTGTACGGGGTGTAATTGCACTTTCATCAGAAGACTTTGGTTGAAACGATTAACTTGTGCTCGACTCAATGAGCGTCGCAAAGCAGCCATGTTGGAAGTCGACGAGTACTCATTTGTCCTACTAGTTTCGAACTTCTTCCTCCGTGCCGAATCGAATCTAGAAAAATAGAAATGATGTTTACGAGTGTTTTGTATTTCTGGATTTGTAACAGAGAATGAACGGAACCGAACGGTCTCTAACATTTGGAACCAGTTCACTCTGTGATGATAACTAAAGAATAATGCCAGGTGCTTTTATCTACGTCCGGTTTGGCGAAGAATTCAACGACGGCATGGGAACGTTCCGCGCGACTTAATAACAACCAATCACGTTTTTTATCGCTACAGTAAAAATGCATTCTTTCGCAATTGCGTTCAATTCTTAGCAGTCGTTGTCCGTTACTAGTGTCGCCCAAGTGTGGTGGACTGAACAAGGTCAAAATTATTAAATATTTATGAAACTTAATATCTGTTCAGTTTAAGCAATTGAAGAAAATCAGTGCCACTTCCTGCCCCATTTTCAACTTAATCCCCGAGATAAGTCAATTTGTTTACAGGCATTCCTTGCCAGGCCAAATGATCGATTTTGAAAACTAATGTAACTCGGCTTACCAATAGGAGATATAGAAATAGCATTCATATTTAATTCTTTATGGTATACTTGGCTTCCGGCAGCAGAAAATTTATGAATACATTTTTTCTTGAAATTACGATACTAGCTTTTATTTAAAAAATGTTTGTATTCTCTTTATGTATAATATACTAAATTTATTGAAGCGAAGCTTCTCATGGCACGGTGGTACGTGTAAGTTCACTTGTTACAAATAGCACCTGTTTCGGAAAGCGAATCCCTTTTTTTTATAGCTAATTACTATTTCCATTTACCTTTGTATTTCAGTACTAACACATTTTATAAACGTTTTCAGTATTGCATTTCAGTATTAACACAATAAGCATACATATTTTCGTTGTTAGTGCATTATTCTTAAAGTTAACCATTGACGCTTAAAGGGAAATAAAGATAATACGAAATATCTCCAAAATAACCGAACGCTTAAAAGCATCTCGTTAAAAAATAATTACAAATAATTAAGAATAATTATTAATATATCTAGTCATTCTATTTAACTTAGGAGTTTCAAGTTTAACGCGCGTGACGGCCACGCGTCGACTTTTATATTTATTGCTTATCATTTTATTATGTAGATCTATATATACATAGATGCTTGTTAACTTCTTCTTAGTGACAACAAAAGTAGGGTTGTTAGTAGTGGTAACTGCAGGATGCTCTTATCGTCAACGTGCGATGCGTGCGTATCGAACGGCTGTAACTGGTCGTGGGCGTATTGCATCCATCATAGGTCGCGGTGATAAAGTAATGACAAGCGACATGCTTCTAATGACCGCTGATACTCCAGGTAGTTTTGTGAGGCCAGCTGCGCCGTTGGAAAGGCGCTCGGTAACGTCGGGTGTGTTAATTTTTTCGCCAAACACTTTTCGTTTGCGCAGGAGCTGTCGTTTTCAACCTGGACTCCTCTGCCGAGCAAGAGTCGACGGAAACGCGGATTCCGTTCGGCCAGGAACGAGGCAGCGAATTGAAGGTGAGTTGAGGACGATTTTAAATCGATTCCCAGAGAAGGACAAGATCAATCGAAATATTAATCAAGCGCGAAGAGATTATTTGACTCTCAAGAAAGAAGGACAGAGGCCGCGTTATTCGGCATTAGCAGATATGGTCTGAGATAGGGCGAAACAAAAATTAGGGCATTTCATTTATCAGCTGTACCGAGAACTGCTAAGGCTTTTGAGAAGTGATCTCAACCGAAGCGAGACGAAGGGATGCCACGAAAAGGCATAAAAGTCTCATTTAACTGGACATGGTTGGCACTTAGACGTCAGATCATCGACGTTGGTGATTACTTTGCCCGCGAAGTATTGAGGAGAGTGAGCACAAAATACAAGAACTTTTTGTTTTCCAAAATTACTTGTTGTCCGACAAGATGTTCAGTCGATGGTGCGCTCACATTGGCTTCCAGTAATTTTATAATTTATTAAACGCAGATATGGACCATCGGCAGGCACCCTGTCCGGAACACGTGACAACCGAGAAAACGAGTATTTTCATTCTTTCATGACTGAATTTTTTTTCCTAACTTCCTGACAATTTTCACCTAGGACTATATGCAGCACGAGTTACATAAAAGTTCGTTTTGCATGAGGCCAGGACGCGATTTTAAAAAACAAGTTACGGAACAATAATATATACGTTACGTAACGTTTGTAACATGTAATGTAACATACATATAACATATAAGCAAGATTTGTATTACTATTTCCTCCGCAGCTATATAACCCTGTTATAAAACGAATAATGTAACGTGCACATAACATATCGGTAATATGTTATATGTTATGTTAATATTATATAACTGCAATGCTTACAAGTTTGTAAGAATGTCACCGAAGAGTAATAATTCGACGTTATATAATATTAATGTATCTTTTGAATAACATTCGTTATATATCATGGTATTCCAGTGTCATGTAATTGTAACATACAGTGTTTGATGGGTTCTTCCTTATACCTCATTAAGAATAGATAGTTTTAACGCCATCAATAGGTGCTCGCTCTCTTAAATACATTTTTTCGCCGCGAATTAAAGCAAGCTGCCTCGATAGGACGTATCACCGTTATAAGAAAACGGAACTGTAAACCACATTACGGGATAGAAGTCGTTCGACCCACCCTTTCGCGACATTGTACGGTCCTGTACCTCCGGTAACGACCTTGTTCAACGAGTGCGTCAGTCCCTTGACACGGTCAGTGCCAGCTCGGTTCCACCAGGAATCCCCTAACCAGCGGTCGCGTCCATATCGAATCGAATCCCACAGGTGATACGAGGAGAAATCCGTGTGAAAACGTAATCTTATCGGCCTTGGCGCGTCACCTGATTACCGGCTCAGCTGAAAAAGTCGAAAGTGAAATAAGCCGCATGGGGGCCGCTCTTGCGAAGTGTCTCCTCGTCGGGCTCTTCGAGTACTGTACGGTCTTCTTCTTTTCAGTCCATCCGAATGACGGGACGGGAGGCGGCGATTGGCTGGACCGGATAGACGAGATCGACCCGAAGAGTCGGACAAAACCACGGTATGGGTCTGCCGCGTTTGTCGCCGAAGAGATGCTTCCTCTACGTCTTCTGCTTGACCGGGATGCTGCTGGTCATCGCCAATGTCCGGCAGAAGGAAATCTGGCACACCATGCGTCCGGACGTGGGACCCGTGCAATCCGTTCGCGCAATGCCGGACGGCTCCAAGGTAATTAAGGATCGCCAATTAAGGGTTTTCATCGAGTCGATGGAAGTTTGCGTTTGTTTCGGCCTATCGTTATTAAGATCTGTGGACTGTAAATGGATGCCACTGAGTTCGTTGGGCCAAGTCCAAATCGAAGATCCGTCCCGGTATCTCACTTTTAGCGATAAATGACGTCTTTTATCTATAAATCAGCTGAAAGTCACTATATTGTATTTAAGGGCTATCATCTCGAAGTCCACGTGTAAAAGAGGAACTTGGTTACGATAATGATATATCATATCTTGATTAGTTTTGAGATTAATCGCAACTAATGCCTAGAATTTTACTCCCATTAGTGTAATGTGACAATATAGTTGGGAATCTTCTCATAGCGTGGAGTGATTATTTCTCAGTAATTATTTATAAAGATATTCGAGTTACGATTTCGGTTACTCTTTGATACATTGATGAAGAAGAGCATTAACTGTCCATAGTCCGAGCGAACAAATTATCGTACCATGTAATTGCTTAGAGTGAGTGGAAAGCCTTGAGGCGAATCGCGAGGAAACCGTTCCATATCGTTAGATGGGTAGCAGGATGTGCGATTATAAAAGCCATGGAATTTCGCACTGAATTTCGCAGATGAAACTCGTTCGGTCCCCAAAACCGAAGAAGCCAACGACAATATTGCGAGCGCGGGAGAGAGCTCAGGGAAAGCGTCCGCCCGAGGTATAGTCGATCGTTCAATCGATAGGGAAATATAGTCGCATAGTTGTGCTTATCGTTAGTGTCGATATACACTTAAAGTCGATCGGGACCTTATCAGGCATTCCGTCTTCGCAGGAACGGACAAATTAAAAATACTTATATCGTAAGAACATTTTTTTATCTCTAACCCTGTAATAAATTGTTGATATCAAAACTAATCCCGCTGATGAAGCGAACTTCCCGGAGACGAAATGCCGACGACTTCTGAGCTTCCTACACTCGCTTAATAGACTAGATTAAAGTCTCGTAGAGGAGTGTAATTTAACAGCTGATTAGTTAGGCTGCATATACTAGAAATTGACACTGGCACGCACACATTGACCAGTTGCACTTCTGGGCGTCGTGCAACGTGAACGACTTCTCAATTACGACTTAATCGAGTTCAACGACACGATCACGAGTCTCCGGGTTAAGAGTAGTTTCTTGCAAGTTATCCTCGCGAATTGGAGGTTCTAATTCCAGTGAAACTTCACAGGAATGCGAGGTGATTGAAAATCAGGTCTCGCTGGAAAATGTTAATAGGCGTTGAAGTGAAGCCGGTCTTTTTGGAGAATAAGAGGCTGCCTATGGAGTTTCACTTGAATGAGAATTGTCCCCTTTGCGAGATCTCTTTATAGGTGGACTTGATTCGTCGAGATTTATTTTCTTGGGAGGTTCTTATCACGGGTTGGGGAAGAGGATTGTTTAAAATTTGTATTCATTTTTACCCTTCTTTAAGGCTTTGAATATGACGGGAAGCATTGGTCTTATGGAAAGTCCAGTGGATCCATTCGACCCAGCTACGAGACCTTGGTACATGAGGGATGGTACCAGAAGACCTTATCCAGCAGCAAAATGTCGCCACACAGGTAGAAGACTTGCCAGGTTATGGCCCGAAGAAGATTCCTACGATGATCGAGTGACCAATCAGGTGAGTTCCTAAGAAATTTAATTTCATAACATGCAAAGTACAAATTTTATCCTGTTAGTGAACGTTGGATACTTACTTGATCAAGTTTCATATACGGTTGGACTTTTCTCTAAATTTGTCTACTTCTTGACTTAATTATTTAGTAAAATTGTTGGGTAACCAACAATTTTAAAATATTTCACCTGTTGCAGTTGATGTTCATTCCACCGGATTATAATAGGACTTTGGCTCAGCAGAGGGTAAAGAAAATTATGGTCCCACATGGTATGCCCGAAGCCAGGCCTGGTTCTGACATTTTTATTCAGCAGTCTTGCCCCGTCAGCAGTTGTACCATTATTCGTGACAACCCTGACGATGCGGATTTGATTTTATTTAAGGACTATGTCTCTAACGTCGGTCGCAGGCCACCGAATCAGGTTTGTGATTTACCTCCGACTGATGAAAATTAATTATGCTTAATTTTTAAAGAGGCAAATCGATGATAGACGTTCTGAAACGGAGGACACGTGATATAACAAATGTTGGCAGGTGTGGATGCTGTATTTTTTAGAATGTCCCTATCACACTCAGACTGTCAAGAGTGCAGTAGTCAACTGGACAGCAACTTACCGAAGGGACAGTGACATCGTTGCCCCATACGAAAGGTGGCAGTATTACGATCATAGAGTCATGCAAATACCGCAAGCCATGAATTACGCTGCCAACAAGACGAAAAAGGTAATTCAGAAATATTAATTGTTGATAGTATCGTTATTATGTACCGGAAGAACATCGTGTAATGCTTCATTGCTCTACCTAGGTTGCTTGGTTCGTCTCAAATTGTCATCCGCGCAACCAGCGAATGCATTATGCCAAGGAGTTGTCAAAATATATCCAAGTGGACATCTACGGTGCTTGCGGATCTCTACGGTGTCCACGATCCCAATCGCAGGCTTGTTTTGACATGCTGGATGCCGATTACAAATTTTATCTCGCTTTCGAGAACTCGAATTGTAAGGACTACATCACGGAGAAATTTTTCGTCAACGGTTTGGGGTACGTTTTTTTTAATCCGGGATTTCGGTCAACTTCGTTAAGTTATTTACTAGTGCTAAAAAAATTCGAATAACCTAGTCAACATAGAAATTAACCACCTTCCTTTTCATTTAATCATTTTTTTGCTTTTTTTTTAAAAGCAACTTAACTTACTATCCATATGATCGAAGTGGGGAAAGAGTTCCCATACAATATTTAATGTCGAGGTGATATGATAGACCTCTGAGGGGTCTCGTTTATGAATCTTTTCATCGAATTAGTCGTACCGAATGGTCTGAATATTTACCAGGTGAATATAGAGGTCTGAAAGTAATTCCTGACGCCCCTGAAATATCATTCATTTTAAATTGTTTATCAACCTTGTTATATAAAATGAAATTTCACGACGGCCAGGACCTTCATTAGGGTCTTTACGCGGTAAAGTTTCAAACAATTCGATACATCCAGTTCGAAGAAAAGTATCATAAATGATTGTCCCTACGGATGCCATTTTCATATCATCTTAAAATGCTTGAAGGGTATGGGATTTTTTTCCCAGCCCTGTAAAGTCGTACTTCAATTTAAATTCAATTAAATCCAGAAAGGATTAAATGCCGACTTTATTATAAGCTGTTACAAGCTATCACTAATTTATTATTAATTTTCATCGCAGACACAACGTCCTGCCCATAGTAATGGGAGCTCATCCCACGGATTACGCGCGAAGTGCTCCTCATCGTTCGTACATCCACGTGGACGAGTTCGAGTCGCCCAAGGAACTCGCCGAATATCTTCATCGCCTCGACAACGACGATGCCCTCTACAATTCGTACTTCAAGTGGAAAGGCACGGGCGAATTCATCAACACCTTCTTCTGGTGCAGAGTTTGCGCGATGCTGCATGACCCTCGGCCGCCAAAGTTTTATAAAGACGTGAACGAGTGGTGGCGAGGCGACGGCGTCTGCACGCTATCTTCTTGGAGAGAAAACGACGGAAGGGCGACCAACTCGAGGACGGTTTGAACCTCGCGGCATCCTGGCTTTCGGGAAAGAGAACCAAAAATCGAGAAAACCGGGAGCGAGATTCACGGTGGAGGAGGAAAGGAGATCTGTCGAGGTAAAGCGTACAAAAAAGAAACTACAAACGATGGCTCCGAAAATTTACACGGAGACCATTAATCAATCTTTCCCGTTCCTATTCTGGAAGTGAAACTTCTAATGACACAATAATTAAGAATAATAAATAATGTAGAATAATTCTCTTCAACTTAGAGGTTCCATTTCCAATGCACGCCGCCGCCATGCACCGATTTTCATTTTGGTTTAATTCTCCGGCAATGAGAAAATTAATCTTTGATTTTAGGTAATATTGGCGGATCTCTTCTTTCCCCTTTTTACGTTCTACGGACGTAGCTCCGTCTTGGATGTCCACGAAAGTTCAGCTGAAATCCTCTGATGGGTTTTTTCAACGTGAAGAGGATACGAGGAAGTTAGCTCGCGCGAGTCATCGAAATTTCACCGACGACTCGCCGAGTGGAAGAAGCACGTAGGTCGAAAATGAAGACGATTGCGTCGCTTACTCTAGGTTTAGGTGTAATCGTACTTAGAAATCGTGCGTACTCGTCCAGCGCCGGAGAAATTTCTCTCGAGGAAATGAGTTCGGGCGACGAGGTGGCGATTATGTCAAACGCTGTGGTATTCGTCGAGGCACTCTTGGGCGACTTAGGAAAAGTCGAAATATCGTCGGTTCGTTTGTCCCCGAGACGTTCGTTCCACTGAGAGAAGAGTCGACGTCTCCCTTCTCTGGAACCAACAAATGCTGATATGCCTAGATCGTATTAATTTTCTTCCGACAGTCCAGATTTACTGAACGAACTCGTACTAAATCTGACTTTTCTCTCAGTGCAGATCCGCTGAAATTCGGGATGGAGATTTGAGGTGACATGAAAGAGCCATTCTATATATCAAAATAAGAAAAAATGTATAAAACTTTTCTCCAAACTGAATGCACCGAATCATTCGAAGCTTCAGCACGTGATTATGAAGATCCTAAGGAATAACGCGATGCTCGTGAAATTTCATTTTTCGAACAAAAATTTTTTTATTTATCCTAAACTAGAACTAAGATCTCATTTCTTTGGTGAAAAATGAAATTTCATGAGCATCGGGTTCATTCTTTGGACCTCCACAATCACGTGTTAAAGTTTCACCCGGTTTGGAGAAAAGTTTTATAAATATTTTGACGTTTCATATATAATTGAAAATCTATAAATAATGTCCCTTTCATAACACCTTAATTTTTTTCTATCTGAGTAAAGTCAAAGAGCGATTGCTACGGCTTCAGGGAATTTTGACCAAAGTTAACTTTCGGTGTTAGAAATGTCGATGGTTAAGCGCGAACAGCCGCATGGGAAACGTACCCGACAATATTTTCTTCGCTCGAGTGACCCGATAGTGATGCGTTCGTAATAACTTTCACTATACTCGTTGTTTGTATACATCTAGGGGTTACATGCGACGAGAGATGTAACCCAGGTTAAACTCACGTAACCAGAACGTGTATGAATTAATCGTAGCCGATGAAATTGCATTCCGGTCTCGGAGGCGTAGCTATAGGGAAGGATTTGTGAAAGTTTCGGGGAAATTGATCGGTTATCGAGACTCTTAATTTGGCAGTCTTCCTCGTTCGATGTATATAGAATAATCGGTATCGTCCTCGGGATCTTGTCGACGCCTTTTTTTATCGTACTCTGTGTATAGGGCTCAAGGAATGGGTGATTTGTTATTAGTTTTTTGTATGGTCGTCAATTGGCGGACACGATCGCCGTTTCGATGGTTTCGCCGATCCGAGGGGTTTGTTGCTTCCGAAATGGAAATTAAACGTTAACTAATCCTGAACCGTCCAATCAGGGAACACCTTAAACTGCTTTTGCTTCCCTTAAATCCTTATACTGGGAAAACTAAAACCGGAGCAAAACCAATCAAACCCAAACCGGTTGCGATAGATTTGGTTTCTCCATCTAAAGACGGAAGGTTTATCGACTCGATCGATCGGGCCGAATTGTATTTTCTAGACTAATCGAATAATTTAATGTCGGAGCAGCGAACCTCTCCCGTGGATCACTCCGATCGAAGGAAGATCGACATCCGTAAAATAAGTTCATAGTCGTGTGTCAGACTTGCACAAGTTTCCTTCTCGGTGCTCGGCACTTTACCGTTGTGCTTACCTATTACATAGTTCCTAGCACACATTATTTCGCAGGAAGCTGCAATGTTATGTAATTAGCTTCGTGATTTATTAATAATTTGATCGGCTTAGCCCCGGCTTCTCTTCGTCCTTGACGGCGATTTTCCCTTCGTCGAAGGGGACGAGCGTTTTAATGGGAAATAAGTTTCCGCACGATGTGCTCCTTGAGTGACAGATTTCTGAGGAAACATGTAAATTAGAAGGTAGATGAAATGGCAAGGGATATTGTAGGAACGTCGGATGAAACATGGAAGTATCGTACGCATTTTCGAGTTTGCACTGATGAGCGGTTCTTATTGTTCAGCTTATGCTTCATTAGCAGGATTTTAAAGTGACCAATCATCGAGTACTTCAGTCAATTTGGAATTCGATTCCGATTGTTTCCTACGATTAATGCCATTTGTATTGGCGTTAAGTGAAGGGGCTAGGAAGAAACGTGAATGTTAACAATTTTTAAACGCGAAACTTAATATCGCGGTACTTGCTAAGAATTGAAGAAATACAGGCTGATTAATTCGACTGTGACCCGCATACACGTTGGCGCAAAAAATTGTAAGATAAATGATTGCTTTTATCGAAATTTAAAAGATATAGTCCCTAAATTATTGTTAAATCTGATGTGATTTAGATCGTACTTACCTTGAAATGTATCAGTTGACGGATTCCTCTGAACAAGCCATCTTGTATCGCAAATCTCTAAATATCTGGTATACAGTCGTAGCATGAACACAGAATGAATTTCTAAAATAAAATTTATTTCTAATTGCACAAATTCGGCTTCAGTTCGCAGGGTATACGAGCCCTTTAGCCGTGAAGTGAACATGGACTTACTTGGCGGTTTAGATTCATAAATACAATACAAATAATTAAGAATAATAATTAGGGATACAGTTTTGTTCTTTCTTCAACTAGATTCATATTTTTGTCATCAGGAGCGGACACTTCCTCGTATTTGTTGTACATAATTAAAAATTAGCACCTAATTCTTACGTCTAGTCACGTCTTATTTAAGCTTTGTGACCATTGCTAGTAACGCGTTCCTTATCTAATTTAATCGTTTAATCGAGTTTTAAAGGATTACTTCAGCGTCGTTAGCATATTATTAAATAATCGATATTTATTGACATTGCTGTAGCGTAAGTATGCGTATTCCTGACGGTCGCTGTCACGCACTTATTCGCTAGAAGGTAATCGATCCTACATGCTTGCATTAATTATCGATATAAAATAAGATCAGAACGAAGTACTTGCACCGGTGTTCATTGTATTTTTTTATTACGGCCTCTATAAAAGTGTACAAGACGGAGCACAACTTTTGTCTATCTGCTGAAAACAAGAAATTCACTTCATCAAAATCATGTTCGAATATATTTTATATGTACACATACAGGAGGTCTTAAAACAACGGTTCTGATAATTAATTAGAGAAGGGTATTCTAACCTATCGATATATTTTATCATTCCAATTATCTGCTAGGGGAAAGTCATTTTTTGTAAACATAACTAACGCTTCCGGCAGAATTCCGCTGAACACTCGAGACTAAAATTCGATCAAATCTTCCTATTGAACCGTCGGGTTCATCACTAATTATTAGAAGTATCTTACATCGCGGATAGATAAAATAAATTAATTTCAAATGCATTTTCTTCCGGGAGAGTGACCAAGTTTCACGTTTTTAGAAAGACTTTCAGAAAAACTGCTCTAAACAAGTAGCAAAATTTTTAAATTTCGTTTTAACAAGAATACTTTTTCACTGATTTTTAATTGAAGAATTAACATCGATCGTTTTAGCTATCTAAAGATTATTATTAATATCACGTGGCATTTTTGTGTTCCTCATCAGAACTCACGATGAATAACATAAGTCACAGGGATTTGTACTACGCGTTGGAAATATTTGACAATCACTCAAATAAAACATCAGAAGAATCCTGCCGACACTATGCAAAATCAATAGACGTATCTTAATCAAATTTAGACAAGCGTAGTGCCAATAATGAAGATAAATAACATTGAAGATCTTGCGAAGCAGTGCGTAACTTTAAAGGATCTAACAAGTCACAATTTTATTATTACCGCAATCTCCGAACAAGACAAGAGATTTTCTCGTTTTCGTCAGTCAAGTCTTATGTGGAACTTCAAGCTTCCTAATCTTTGCTTATTTATGGATCACAATTGAAGTGCAAGCAACAGTAACATCGTTGTGATCATACCGCACAATATTTCCAACATTAAATCCCCCGTTAATCGAAATGTGCAAACATCTTCGTTTTGTTGTATTTTTACCGAATTATGAAGGTTTTTCAATATTGCACAAAGGTGTACAGGATGTGTATTTCGGTCAGGTAATTGCAGTTGCAATTCATGGTTGTTTCAATCGCTGCAGATAGAAGCATTGCCTGCTAGATAGACGGTGATTTTTTAAAAATATTTCTGCCGCGGGTAAGCAAACCCGTGCGAAATTGCAATTCATAATTATCAACATCTTCCACTGAGCACAAAGTGATAGAAATAAGCATAGACAAGATGTACAAGGACTTAAGACACGACGTACGAGTACGCGTCACTATGATGTGGTATTCATTGACTTTCATACGTGACTATTGATCAAAAGATTGATAATAAATAATATATTTAATTAATAATGATTTATAAACATCCGAGCGTACGCGTATTGCGACTTGAGGGTGAAATTATGTACTTGCGGTAAACGACGCTGTATTCAAAATTTATGCAAACGACAATTACACTTTTTGTCGCAGTTCTATTGTCTGTAAGCAGGCAAAATTTCAATGCACAGTTACTGTGTCATGAATTACAGCTCAAAGTGATACTAAATCTTATTTCTCCATTAAACATTCGCACAATTTGTATTTCGTATACATCAGTAAATCTTTACTAAGCCGAGTACTTGCACGATAAGTTACGCTTATAAAAGTGAAAGAATGGAATTTATTTTTCGCAATCACTATATCATTCCCTTCGACCCGAGGGGTTATTCACTCGAAAATCAGCCAAAACGATGTCCTTTGAGAATCGATTGTCATTGGTTTCATATGATAAACAACAACGTGATTCGGTAATAAGTGACGCTTGGCATTAAAGTTTCCATAGCAATGTCTCCGTGATTTCCACCGATTTCCAGTGATTTCTGAGGTCCTGTTTGCGACTTCCGTCATACTAATGATCTCCCACTGATTTCAAATGAGTTTTAACGAATTTATCGTTGTCACTAGTTTCAACTAATTTAAACGCATTACCCTGCATAACAATGCTCCTAATTGCCAGCTCATTTCCATACGATTTCTGGCATTGAAACGTATAATTTCACGAGTGAATAACTCCTCGCTTCAACCCGATACGTCGAATGCAAGTTTTCCCTTAAATTACGTGTCTTACGCACATGTAATGCGCGACTAACAACTCTTATTAACAACACTTTGTGTTAGTCGAGGTCGCATTAAAATTCGAGAAGAATGTCCAGCATTGAACAATGTCTTCGCACGGTTTTGCCAAACCAGCGTCGTCGAGCTCTTTCCAATGTAAGAGGATTTTCGAGTACGCGGATGGGATTACTTAATTATGGTGCTGGTTATGGTGCATAAGTAGCGAATAGCCGGTGTCTTCTCCCGAACGACTGGTTAGCTGTAAACGACTATGTAATAATTAGGTAGTCTAAATCGTAGTCATTAACAATGTCACCCCGTAACGTAGCCTAACGATTCGGTGCGACCATTTGTAAATAGTAGCTTTACGTTAA